ATCAGTAACTTTGTATGTGCCTATCTGCATAGACTTATATGAATATGCAAGGTATGAAAAGATACAGCCCAATTTATTATTGCCTGGAAATCAGGGTGGAAGTGGAGATTACTTTTTCTGAATATATCTTTGGTCCATTTTACTAGTTACACTGAGCGTAAGCATAATTAAAACATAATAATTAAAATTATTAAAAATAATAAAAATTTAACATTGGTTGTAATAAAACATGTAAGAACACAAAATAATTTAATTCAATGCCAGGTGAACGTGTGTGTGTGTGTGTGTGTGTATGTGTGATGGTTGTCAAATGTTAATTCTTATTACTGAAGTGAATTTTGCTCAAATGTGTACAAAACAGAATGAACTAGGTGACTGAAAGTACTATGACTTATCCCGTGTTTCACAATTGACATTTCAGTAATGAACTAGAGAGTGGATCGTGAGTTAGTAAAAATAAACAGATGCATGCTACTTCCTGCAGACTTCTGGGAAGGAATTCAAAACCAGGCTGCAGCATAGAAAAGAGGAGAGAGTAGCTACGATTGCAGACATTCGGTTCAAGGCCAGCCTGGGCAGGAAAGTCCTTGAGGCTCTCATCTCCAATTAACCACCAGAAAACCGGAAGTGGGGTTGTGGCTCAAGTGGTAGAGTGCTAGCCTTGAGCTGAAGAGCTGAGGAGCAGCGCCCAGGCCCAGATTTTAAGTATCACGACTGACAAGAGAGAGGTTGACGCAGAGATAAGTAAGGGCAGTTCTTCCTCGCCAACTAAGTCTAGTGACTCTTAAAAGAGACTGTCTGAGGGGGTGGCTGTCTTCGTATAAAATCCGAGTGTCTCAACTCAAATTCGTGATCTGTTCTGCCTTCCTCGAACATGCTTTCCTGCCCGGCCAGGCACCTGCCCATTCACCTCCTCCTCCATTTTACTCTCCTCTTTCCTTGAATCCATACGGCGGCTAAATCCTCTCCATGTTACCTCTGCCCTAAGGCTCCCACGGTGTCCCGTGACATTTGGCAAGGACTAGCTAATAATATGGCGGCGGCTGCTACAAAGAAGCCCCCCAGTCTTTTCAATACTGACCACTTGGATCTTCTGGACTAACCGCCATCTACTCTATCAGCAGCACATTTCACGTGAGCTTTTGCTCACGTCCCGGGACGAGCGGCCGAGGCGCTGGCAAGGTGAGTAGGCGCTAACTGACGTACCAGGAATCCAATGGGTGGAGCCGGGACTAGCCAAGGGGCTCACCCAGTGCCGCATCCAAGGTCACGTGTGGACCGGGCCTGGGCTGGCCAATGGGAGTGCTCTGCATCTACAGTCACGTGTCCAGTGGGCGTGAACTTCCGTCCTAACCAAGCTCCGCCCCACCATGGTCAGCGTGTGCCACCCAAGGCTGCAGTGCCGGTAGGGAGGTTTTTACCTCAGGTAAAAATCCCCGAGAACTTGGTGAGAGAAGGTGTTTTCCAACTGAGAGTAAGAAAAGTTAGGGAAAGCGCAAAAGAAAGGCTGCTTGGAAACCTCAGGAGCCTTTTCTTGTGAGGCCTGGCCTGCAAGCCAGGAGGGGCGAGACACGGGAACTAGAGGCCGCCCAACCGTAGGCTAGGACGGTGGCACGAAGGTCACAGGGAAGGCCCGAAGGTCACCGGGAAGGCCCGTGGGATGGCAAGCCCTACCCCCAGCCAGAAGGTGTACGGGTTCAACAACATGAGTACACTTCAACTCCTCTGCGATTTTACATTACTGAAATATGTTTTTTAGGTGGATAGGGAAGAAGGAAGAAAAACTTATAGATGCCCTAGGATGAGAGAAGATGGGCTGAGCCCTGCATGGCATTAAATGACCTGATTATTGCTATAAATTTCCAGTAGGAGATCATAGGACTTGGCCAAGAGGTAGCCCAAGAAAAACTCTTTAGAAATAAGTAATTAGTTATATCCTCAGAAGGGAATGGGAGGAGAATAAGAAGGCAAAATTAAAGAGGTAAATAAAGTTGGCAAACAGGTAAAGAAAAAATTAGGAAATTACTGTGACTGACTCAGAAGTTCATTACTGCCGGCAAGCTGTGGTTCAAGCCTATTATCCTAGCCACTCAGGAGCTGAGATCTGAGGATCACAGTATGCAGTTAGCCCAAGCAGAAAAGACCCTGAGACTTTTTTTTTTTGGTCAGTCACAGGGCTTGAACTCAGGGCCTGGGCACTGTCGCTGAGCTTTTGTGTTCAAGAATAGCGCCATGCACTTTGAGCCACAGCTCCACTTCCGGTTTTGTAGTGGTTAATTGGAGAGAAGAGTCTCACAGATTTTTCTGTCTGGGGCTGGTTTCGAACCATGATCCTCAGTTTTCAGCCCTTTGAGTAGTTAGTATTACAGGTGTGAGCCACCTATTCTCCAGTTAACCAGTAAAAATAAAACAACAGTGGAAGTAGATGTGGTTCAGGTGGTAGAGTTTCAGCCTTGCGAAAAGCTTAGGCCCAGAGTTCAAGCCCCAGTACTGGCATCAAAAAAAGTTGATTATTTAAGAGTATCTTTTTTCTTTTTTTCTTTTGGCTGTGGGGTCTGAACTCTGGGCCTAGGCGCTGTCCCTCAGCTCTTCAGCTCAAGGCAAGCGCTCTACCACTTGAGCCACAGTGCCACTTCCAGCTTTTTCTGCTTATGTGGTGCTGAGGAATTGAACCCAGGGCCTCATGCATGCAAGACAAGCACTCTACCACTGGGCCACCTTCCCAGCCCAAGAGTACCTTTTTTCTAACCATGATTTTGCTTATCTTCTCCATGTCTTTGATTCTAGAAATAAGACCTATTTGTCTTTCTTCCCAGCAGCCTACTAGTATAAGATGAGTTTAGACCTGTGTATTCAATGAAATTAACAGATGAAATTCTAATAATGTATGTAATTATGCAAATAATAAGTATTTGGAATGAATTTCAGTGATTGACCTCAAGATACAGGTAACTTTATTTGTGGGGGGAAGGGCACTGTCCCTGAGATTTTTTTTTTTCCGGTCCAGTCGTGGGGCCTGAACTCTGGGCCTGGGCACTGTCCCTCAGCTCTTCAGCTCAAGGCTAGCGCTCTACCACTTGAGCCACAGCGCCACTTCCGGCTGTTTTTTGTTGTTGTTTTTTGCTTATGTGGTGCTAGGAATCGAACCCAGGGCCTCATGCATACAAGGCAAGTGCTCTACCACTGGGTCACCTTCCCAGCCCCTGTTCCTGAGATTTTTAAAAGCACAAGGCTAGTGCTACATTTGAGCCACAGATCCACTTCCCACTGTTTTGTGGTTAATTGGAAATAAGAGTTCCATGGATTTTCCTGCCCAGGCTAGCTTTAAACCATGATCCTCAGATCTTAGCCTCCTGAGTAGCTAGGATTAAAGACATGAGCCACCAGTGCCCAAATCACAAGTAACTATTGTAAAGGTAGTTTCTATCTCAAGCTGATTGGAATATAAGAAAGGAAACTGTAATATAAGAAAGGAAAATTGAAACAAAATACTGGTTGGATAAACTGAGAGTTGTGACTGTATTTAGCTTTTTTAAAAGAACAGATTACAAATTCTGGAGAAAGTATAATGTCAAAGTGGAAATTCTGGAATATTTGCTTCAAAGATTGCTGTGCAGTATGTAGAAAAACACACTAGTTGGAAAAATTCTCAGTCATGAAGAAAATTCCATATTGTGAAGTAGTAAAAAAAAATATTGGCATCATACTTGCCAGTACCACAGACTCTGACAACATTAAAACTAATCTATATAACATATTGAGTTCAGCTTAATTGAAAGGCTCCTAATTCTAAAAAACTTCAATAATGTCCTAGATTATTTTAGAATCTTGCTATTAGATTTTTAAAACAAAATACAGCAATTGCTTACTTAAAAATGTTTACTTCTAATCCTAGCTACTTGGTTAGGGATTAGTTACTGGTGCCCAGCATATTTTAGTCCCCTCCCCTCCCCTCTGCTCCTCTCCTTCCCTCCTTCTTTCTTTTCTTTCTTTTTGAGACAGGGTCTTTCTATGTAGCTAAGGCTAGCCTGAAACTCAATAAGTATTAGTTCAAGTCAGTCTCAGTCCTGTGCTTGTGTTGCAGACTTATGCCACTTTTCCCAACAAGACATTTTAAATGATCAAAATACTAAGAATTGTTTAAAAAATTGTCTACTATCCTAGAGTAATTTCTAAGCCATCATTCTTGGATTTTTCACATGAATGGGAACCATCCTGGTTTACCTCCGCATTTTCAAGGCTTCATTGGTAGATTGGTTGATATTCTATTGCTTCATTGCCTTATCATACTACAGTTGATTTATTACAAATAATTTAGCTATTAGTGAATTCTGACTTCTGTATTTTTACTAAGTAAGAGAAGGGAATTAATTTCCCAAATCTTATTTCTTTAGCACAGTATTCTGTCCTTGGTTATTTGATTACATGACCACTTGAGAAATAGTATCACAGGAAAACCTCTGAGATTCAACCTTTTTTGCAACAAAATAATCATATTAGCCAACATTTGTAGGGATTAAACAATGTAAGAAAATGTATAATTTTATAGGTATCTACATTATTTACATATTAGATTTAAAATCGTAATAATCATTGTTCCTGTATGATTCTTTTAGAATCTTTTAAAATGGTTTAAAGCTGGGCCCCGGTGGCTCACGCCTATAATCCTAGCTACTCAGGAGGCTTAAATCTGAGGATCGAAGTTCAAAGCCAGCCCGGGCAGGAAAGTCCATGAGACTCTTATCTTCAGTAAACTACTAGAAAACAGGAAGTGGCTGTGGCTTTAGCCGATGAGCTGAAGAGCACTGGGACAGCACCCAAGCTCAGAGTTCAAGCCCCACGACTGACAAAAAAACAAAAAAAAACAATCAAATGGTTTAAAATTTTTATGGGTGAAGATTTTCTGTTCTGCTCTTGGCAGAAAATCATGGTATTTTAACAACACTTAATATTTATTTTTTCAGATGTTGACATTTGTACAGCTTTGAGAGAAAGAAGCTATGTTTTCAGCATTCAGATATTATGCGATGGACTATTTACGTGAGGTAGAGTGTTACTGGCTTACTATCTGTTTACTAAGAGTTCTAAAATGTTTTTATCTGCATTCAGTACATGATCATTTACAGCATTCTCTAGGTTAATCTTGGCTTTCAGTTCATTTCAAATGACTTACCATTTGTATTGTACCTTGAAAGTTCATTCTTGAAAGGAATTTTTTTTTTTTTGGTCAGTTGTGGGGCTTGAACTCTGAGCTTGGGCCGCTGTCCCTCAGCTCTTCAACTCAAGGCAAGTGCTCTACTGCTTGAGCCACAGCGCCACTTCTGGTTTTCTAGTGGTTTATTGGAGATAAGAGTCTCATGGAATTTCCTGCCTGGGATTGGCTTTGAACCACAATCCTTAGATCTTAGCCTCCTGGGTAGCTAGGATTACAAATGTGAGCCACCGGCACCCAGTTTGGAAGGAAATTTTAAAGTGAACATAATTAGAAAATTAAACATGAATCTGAAACTATTAGAAGAAGAAAATGAAACTCTTAGCAAGTTGAGGTATCTAGATTAAACCCTAAAGTCACCATCCTTGAAAGGGTTTGAGGAGCCAAGCTTGATGGTGCATGCCTACAAACCCAGCACTTGAGAGGTTAAGACAGGAAAATGGCAAATTTGAGGCCTGGATTACATATAACAAGACCCTGTTCTAAAAAAATAAAACCAAAACCAAAGAGTAATCCTAGCTATATTTGGGGGAAGAGGGTGGGTGCACTGAAGATTACAGGGCCTTCCCCTTGCTAGGCAGGTGTGGCTTGATCACCCTGCTAGCTCCTCTCACCACTTGTATTGGTTATTTTAATGAGGTTTGGTCTTGCTTTATGCCTGGACCAGTCTAGACTACAATCCTCCTACTTGTACTTCCTTGTGTTGCTGGGGATGACAGGCACACACCAAAGTGTTGTTTGATTGTTCATTTCTAGCCATACTTGCATTAGAATTCAGGACTTCATGCTCGCTAGTGTTCTGTTGATAAGACATACCTCCAGCCATTTTTGCACCGGTTATTTTTTATGAAAGGATGTTGCTTTCTCCCCAGGTGCATGCCTGGACCATGATTCTCATAGTTCTTACTTCCTGCCATAGGTAGGATGACAAGCATGTGCCACCATATCCAATTTCTTTCATTCAGATGGAGTCTTACAGACTTTTTGTGTGTGTGTGTAGTCTTGGGACTTGAACTCTGGGCCTGGGCAGTGTTTCTCAGCTCTTCAGCTTAAGGCTAGCACTCTACCACTTGAGCCACATCACCACTTCTGGTTTTGAGTGGTTTATTGGAGATAAGAGTCTCATGGACTTTCCTGCTCTGTCTGGCTTTGAACCATGATCCTCAGATCTTAGCTTCCTGAGTAGTTAGGATTATAGGCATGAGCCACCTCGCCCAGCATCTTACAGACTTTTTTATTTACCTAGCTGGCCTGGAACCATGATCCTCCCAATGCCAGCCTCCCTTGCATTATTCACTTTCCATTGGAAATACAAGCAGGCATCACAGCACACAGATATTGGTTGAGAAGGGGGGTCTCATATACATATACCTGGACTTACCTCTAAATATGATCCTCCCAATCTCAGCATCCTAAGTAGTTTAACAGTAGTGTTATAACGCATTGACTTCCTTTGATGGAACTGGTCCTTTGCTTTTCCAATGGATTACATCATTTGGTCATTGTAACTAGTCCAATATTATTCTACATTTTTTAAAATTTTGCAGATTAGGAAATTAATATCCAGACAAGTTAAATAGTTTGTATAAATGCTGGAAATAATATTCAAGTCCAGGTAGATTGTTAAGAAATGTATGGTAGTAGTTGTCATATTAGCTCATTGTTCTTATGCTCTTAATTGAGAGGTTAAATTTGCATTTTTATTATATCATCTACCAGGATAAAAAAAAGTTACTCGAGTGAACTAGAACTCTGTTTCATTTACAGAAAATAAAAAAGACATACAGATATATTTAGGTTTTATTATTCCCTCATAATTGATGGAAGCAAATATAAAGTTATAAAATATGGGTATCAGAGCAGGTCATTGGCAGCTCACATTTGTAATCCTAGCTATTCAGGAGGCTGAGATCTGAGGTTTGTAATTCAAAACCAACCCAGGCAGGAAAGTCTGTGAGACACTGATCTCCAATTAATCACCAGAAAAGCTGGAAGTAGAGCTGTGGATCAAGCAATAGAATACTAGCCTTGAGCAAAAAAACACAGGGACAGAGCCCAGGCCCTTAGTTCAGGCCCCAGGACCAACACACACACACACACACACACACACACACACACACACACACACACACACACACACACACACACACACAAATACAATGCTTATAGGGAATCAGAAGTCATCTTAACATTACTTACTATTTGCAAAAGTAGTAATAGATGCTCCAATAATCATAGCTACTCAAGAGGCTGAGATCTGAAGATCTCAGTCCATAGCCAGTCCTAACATACAAATCCATGAGACTCATCTCCAATTAACCAGTAAAAAGCTGGTACTGGAATCAGTGCTCTAATGGTAGTGTTGACCTTGAATGAAAAAACCAAGCAAATTCAAGGCTGAGTTCAAGTCCTAGTACAGGCATCAGAAGAAAAAAAAAAAGATGTTCAAACATCCTCAAACTTTTGTCCTTGTTTTTGGTATCTTAGTTTCTTGTTAATTTACTATACCTCATGTTGTAATACAAATTTTATACTAAGCAGTGGTAAATCTTGCAAAATATGCAGGACCATGTATAATTTGTGAAGATAGTATTAAGAACCACTCATATAAGTAAGGCTATTATTAAATGAAGATCCTACAAGATTAGATCAGTTAAAGAAGAGAAAGAAAATGATTTGAATATCAAGATGCAATGATCCTTGCCTCCTTGAATATTTTCTCAAAATATCTTCTTTATGGTCAGAGGTGAAATAATGACTAACATCATGCATATCTCAATACTCTATGTGAAAAAATTATTACCATTTATTCTCAGATAATAACCTCTATGTTTCTTTTTGTTTGTTTTTGGGACAAGATCTTTATCACCCAGGCTGGCCTGTTACTCATAATGTATAGCTTCAACTTCTTAATCGTCATGCCTCAGCCTCCCAGTGCTGGGATTATAGGTATTTGCCACCATGTCCAGCACTTACTTAATATGTTATAACCTTCATTATTTCCCTCTTGGGAAATAATGCAAGAAACTATCATTGTCTGAATATGTAGAATAATGAATTCTATGGAAAGTTGAGTCATAAGTGAAGGCTTTATAAGGAGATATTGTTTAAGATATTGGAAGATGAGTGGGCTTTAGTTAGCTGGAAAATAGCAGAGCTGTTTCAGAGCTGGAAAATAGCAGAGCTGTTTCAGAGCTGGAAAATAGCAGAGCTGTTTCAGAGGATTACTGTGTGGATTGTAGTGTTGATAAGGGAGTCACAACTGACTGCTAAAGTTGAGGAGCAGAGGAGGGACAGTCTATTTAGAGAGAACAATGGAAGTTATTGGAAAGTCAAGACAGAGCTAAATGAGAATATATGTTAAAAGACTTTCTAATTTTCATATATAGGATTTAGTTAGAAAGAAGGTCTGCAGAGGTTTATTTCTTCAGAATCCTTCATGTTTATGTCAAGATGGAAACAATATTGATGACGAATATAGGAGGCCATGGACAAAAGGTATGTATTGCTTTTATATTTCTGAAAAATATAAAGAACTGTTTCAGAGTTTAGCACAGAATTGAGAAAATGCAATACTTTATTCATTAAAGCTCATTACATTTATTCATGTCAGAACATCAAGAAGTTTTCAAGTTGACATTCTTTCTCTTTTTTATTCGTATATGGTAATTATACAAAGGGGTTTCATTATAATATTGCCATAGTGCACATAATGTAATCTGGCCAAATTCACACCTCTTTTACTGTTTCTTATTCCTGTTTACCTCCCTTTTAAAATAGTTTTAATTATTCTATTTTATACATGTGTTTAAATACCTGTCATAATTACCCTCAGCCCACTTTATCCTCTCTTGTCATTCACTTCTTGCTGGTTCCTACCCCTAAATAGTATCCTCCCCCATTTTTATATATTAGGTCTAATGATTCTGCGTGTGAGATACAACATGCAACATTTCTCTTTCTCCATCTGAGTTGTGATTTCCAATTATTCTCATAAAATAATTTATGGATGAATAACACTCTAGTGTGTATATACACCACATTTTTATCCATGCATGTTGATAGACACCTAAGCTGACGTATTACAAGTTGATATTTGTCATTAAAGAATTTATATGGAATTGGGAAACATACTAGATATGAAAACATACTAGATATGAAGTAACATAATGGCTGAAGAAGTCTTTAAAATGCTAACATAATAAACACTTGTTTTATCATAAGATTTTTTAATCTCAGGATTACTTAGAATACTAAGTATTAAATTACTTTTAAATATATTTCTATAACATCTTTTATTCTATCAAGTCATAGACAAGGAAAGAGGTAGCCTCCTTGGAGGAGTCAAGTCAATTAATAAAACTTATTTGGCATATATTACGTACAAAACATGTTATAGGGACTAAGAACACAGGTACAAATAGGATGTAGAAATAGTCCTTGTCTTTGGTGGGTTTTCAGACTGGTAAGGAGAACATAGCATTAAAACCATTTAATAGACATGGTAACTCATGCCATTGTCCTAGTTACTTGGAGCTCAGATTAGGAGGATTATGGTCTAAGGTTAGCCTGAGCAAAAAGTTCATGAGGAAAAGTTGAGGTATGGTGTATATACCTGTCAGCCCAGCCACAGTGGGAAGCATAAGTTGAAAGGTTGTGGTCCAGGACAGCCCACAGAAAAAGTCAGTCCCTCTTCAAAAATAACTAAAGCAAAAAGGGCTGTGGACATGTGGCTCAAGTGGTAAAGTCCCTGTTTAGGAACCATAAGACTCTGAGTCAGATTCTAATACCCACTGACAGAGCCTGTTTCTCTTTCCCTACTCCATCTCCTATTGATAAGCAGCTTCTGTTGAAGTTCTTCATGGTATATTCACAAATACTTGCTATGTGTTTCAAAACTATTCACCTTTTTTTCTTTTTCCCTCCTATAGAACCTTTCTCTTCTTTTTTGTCAGTCATGGGACTTGAACTCGGGTACTAGGTGTTGTTCCTAAGCTCTTTTGCTCAAGACTAGTGCTCTACCACTTTGAGCCACAGCTTTACTTCCAGTTTTTAGGTAGTTAATTGGAGATAAGAATCTCATGGACTTTCCTTCCTGAGGCTGGCTTTGAGCCATGATCCTCTCAGTCTCCTGAGTAGCTAGGATTACAGACATGAGCCACCAGTGTCTGGCTATTCCCTATACTCCTAACTACTAAACTCTCATATTTTTTCAATGAAGCAGAGACTTAGATGTTAAATGATTCATTTAAAGTAACCAAATTAGTAAGAAGTAAAAATGATAGTATAATACTCTGACTCTAGCTAGTGGTTGTGGAATACTAGGCTGGGTATTTTGAAACTAGTATACCATATGATACCTTCCCTTAAGGAATCTAGGATCTAACTTGGAAAACATGTTATAGACACATAAAATTTTATATATAAAACTATATAATTAAGTTCTATAATGCTATTACCAATAGTATGTATATTCAGATAAAGTTAACTGGAATGGCTAATGAAGGCTTTATGAAGAATAGCATGAACTCTTGAACCAGGACTATCTGGGATGATAGTACTGTCTCAGAAAAAAAAAAAAAAAAGAACTTGGATTTATAAGGAGGGTAAGTCCAGGTGATATTGTTCTGACTGTGGTTTAGTTTTGATAAAGGTAGGTTATAATTATGAAAATGATTACTTAAATATTTAAAATTGTGTATCATGTTAGGTAATATTGCATTCCATACTGTAAAAGGTGAATATTTAGTTTCTTGTATTAAGTATAAAAGGAAGTTTTAAAAGTTAATGTTTACTATGCTCTTTTCTAGTCACTGAGGTTTCAGTTCAGGGAATGACAGATGACTCACTATTGGATGAATTGAAAGCAGATTTCTTTGTAGAAGATTTCCTTGAGCAGTATGTGTTTTTAACCTCAATTTCCCTTTATACTTAGAAGATAAACAGTAAGTTCTTTAGATGCTTGAAAAGGGAATGTTTCTGTCCTTTATCTCATCACAAGTTTTGTTTTACATGGGAAAAAAAGACCTGATTGAATCAGAGGAGGGGATAATTACAAGAGATTTAAATCATTTCCTTTTTTAAAATTAAATTTATTTTATTATCTTTAAAATAGTAGTACAAAGCGTTTTTATCTTTCCCTTATTTATCGTATTCTAATTAGTCTCTGTGTTGCAAAAGACATTGAGATGAGACATATAAATTATGCTTTTAATCAATAAGTAAACCTTCTGTGGAAAGTCTCTGTAGAAAGTCTTTTATATTAAGTATAACACCAAAATCCAAAATGCTAACCAAGGCTTACAAAGTCCAGAATGATTTGATCTTTGCCTACTTGTCTGACTTTACTCTTTGCAGTCACTATGACTCTTTAGTTTTGCTTGGAATATGTGAACATTATTTGCCTCTTTATACCTTTGTATGACTCATTCCCTACCATATTCAGAGAATTGCAGAAGTATTAGCCCTTCATTGGCCCTTTCCTAACTACAGTCTCTAAAATATATTCTCTTATCAACACTCTGGATGTTATTTGGGCCTGGGTGCTGTCCCTCAGCCACAGCGCCATTTCCAGCTTTGTCTGCTTATGTGGTGCTGAGGAATCAAACCCAGGGCCTCATGCATGCAAGGTAAGCACTCTACCACTGAGCCATCTTCCCAGCCCTACATAGCATTCATTCAGAGCAGTTTTTTTAAAATCACTTGGCATTGTTATTTACTTATTTTACTTACTTCATTTCTAGTATAAGATCTCTTATGCCAATATCCTAATGGTGTAGACAATGTCAAATATACCTCTATCAATTAGAAAACAGGTATGGGGAAAGTTAAAAGAGCCAAAAACAATCAGACAAAAAAATTCCCAGGATTGGGAACTACAGGAAGTTGTTACCCAGCTAAGCTTGAAGAAGCAAGAGGCCTGAGCAGTTATCAGTCTTGTAAGAACCAAAGCTACAGGGTAAGAGCTGTCTGATAGAGATGTAACCTGTAGTAGAAGAGTGCAGTTACTCACAAACTGTGGCCCAACAGGGAAGGCGTTGGAAGAAATAATATTCCAACCGGTCTCATCTTCGATTGCCTGCCAGAGCATCCTGATGGCTGAATCAAACTAGAAGCCATTGGGCACAAAAGCTTGATTGGTTTGCAGAGATCAGCTTCTCAGATTTGAGAACAGAATAGGCAAATTTGGGTGATTTTGAGGAACATATATAGAATATATAGGGCAAGGGCAGTGTATCAATGAGTGGCAAAACTATGTCTTTAACTTCATCATTTTTGATTTTTTAGGAAGTGTATTTTGAGGAAATGATTTGATAAGTTTACCAAGGTGTCTCTTGCGTTATTGCTCATAATAGCAAACAATTACTACAAACCTTAGTTTCCCATAATAAGGAACTAAATACATGATGATTTGTTGATTATGTCAATCAACTTCCACTTCAACAAAATGCTTGAGAAAGAGCTATTCAGCAAAAGGAAAAGCTTTAACTGAAGATGTGGCTCAAGTGGTAGAGTACCTGCCCTCAATTCAGATTATATCACCATTCCTCAAAACAGGAAATAAATAAGCTAAGTGCTAGTGGCTCACACCTGTAATCCTAGCTACTCCTAGCTGAGATCTGAGGATCATGGTTCAAAGCCAGCCTGGGCAGGAAATTCCATGAAACTCTTATCTCCAATAAACCATCAGAAAAACCAGAAGTGGCACCTGTAGCTCAAGTGGTAGAGCGCTGGCCTTGAGCTGAAGAGCTGAGGGACAGCGCCCAGGCCCAGAGTTCAAGCCCCACGATTAACTAACTAACTAACTAATTAAATAAATAAATAGAAAAGGTTTATTTTGGCTCATAGTTTTGAAGGTTCAGCAGCCCATGATCAATTGGCCCTACTGCTTTTAAGTTTATAGTGAGGTAGCATGTCATGGGAGAAGCATGATATGGGAAAGCAAAATTGCTGACCTCATGGGCTAGAAGTTTAAGAAAGTTGTAAAGTTCATTTTCAACATAACGACTTGTACATCTCATTGTTGCAATGGGTCCACCTGTATCTCTATTTAAACGATTTGTGAAACCTCATCTCTTAAAGGCTGTAATGCCTCCCAATAGTACCATTCTGAGGATCAAACTTTTAACACATGGCCTTTGGAGGACATGTAAGATCCAAACACATGACTGACACATGAGATCCTTCATTCAAAAATGCAGTCAGTATACATTGACATGGCAATGTGCACATGCTTATTTACCAGAAATGAACAGATTATAAACCTCTATGTACATGAATACTATTTACTTCCATTTAAAATATTAAAAAATTGAGAAATCTATATGACATTAATATATATCTAGAGTGTTGTGGCCTAGGTGACTTTTCTTTCTGTTTATTGGAATTTGATCATTTTCCCATCATGAAAATGTGCAATTTATTAATAAAATGTTTTTAAATTGGATATCAATAATATCAGTAATTTTTATACAGTAATTTTATAATGTCATAGACAAACAATTACAGGAATAGTGAATCCGATTAATGGTGTATTTGAAGAGATTGTTCCAAGTTCCAACCCAGACTCTCCAACAAACATAGAAGACATCTTAATTACCCTCAAGGATGACAGTGCAACCTTTACATCTATTGAAAGTTTAGAAAATTATCCAGCACTTCAAGCACAGAACCGAGGTATGGCATTTGTTACTGCAGGTATAAAATCTCTTCCTAATATGTATTTTATCATTTCAGTGAGATTTTTGTTTAATTTGATTTTTGTTTTTGTCTTATCAGTGATAACTATCTGTATAATTATGAGTAAGCTTTGCCAAGTAAATTTTTCTTCTTTCATTTTTAAAATACTTTTTGTAAATTGGATATTGTTTGATGTTTGTTTGCTGAGCTTCAAAATAACTTACTAAGATTTGTTCATAATGTGCCCATAACATATTGCTATATGATGCTGGTACTGTAGATACAGAGCTCATGATATAGGAATCTAGTGTAACATTAGATTACTAGATTATGAAATTGGGGAGGGGGGTATATACTATTTTTCAAAACATGCTAAAGATTTTTTATTTTATCTAATTTATGAAAAATCAAAATGCAGAGTGGAGATAGAATAGTTACATGTAGGTCAAGAGATGCACCTAATTTTTGAAAAGTTACTGTTAATAGCAACTTAAATGACATTTTATCCAAGCTATTCCGAATCTCCTTAGTAGAGAGTGCAGCATTACTCAAATTATGTAAAACTTGCTGAGAGTTGACTTCCTTTTATATATTTCCTTTCTTGATTACTCAAATTTAAGCATCTCATATAGTTAACTCCTACCACTTAAGAAACGTTAAAGTGGGGCTGGGAAGGTGGCTCAGTGTTAAGAGTGCTTGCCTTGCAAGCATGAGGACCTGGGTTCAATTCCTCAGCACTACCTAAGCAGAAAAAGCCAGAAGTGGTGCTGTGGCTCAAGAAGTAGAGCACTAGCCTTGAACTGAAGAACCGAGGGACAGTGCCCAGGCCCAGAGTTCAGGCCCCACGACTGACAAAAAAAAGAAAGAAAAAGAAATGTTAAAGCTTGAGTGTAAAAAATATTTTGATTAATTTCTCATCATTTTTCATCTGTGTATAAATTAACATTGAAGCCAGGTGCCAGTGCCTCACACCTGTAATCCTAGCTACTCAGGAGGCTGAGATCTGAGAATCACAGTTCAAAGCCAGCCCAGGCAGGAACGTCCGTGAGACTTTTTTCTCCAATAAACCACTCAGAAAACTGGAAGTGGCTCTGTGGCTCAAGTGGTAGAACACTAGCCTTGAACAGAATGCCGAGGGACAGTGCCCACGCCCAGAGTTCAAGCCCCATGACCAACCTAAAAATAAAAAAATTAGCATTGACAAATAAACATATAGAGATGAGTCCTTCTTGTAGTTTGAAGAAATTAAAGTCTAAACTGGAGAAGATCATATAGCAGAAAGGAGAGGCTGAATTTGAAATCAGATTTTAATTTTCATTCCAAATTTACTCTTACAAAGTGACACAATTTAGGGAAAGTTGTCATCAGATTTTTTGAGAAGGGAAGAAATTTATGGTTTAAAATTTTATTTTTCTTAACATTATTCTACCTTCTTACCAAATGAGGGGTATAAAATAACATAGGAATATTACATTATGTATATATGCATAAAGGAATATTTTTAAAAATAAGGGACTATACATAACTATTATTATTAATGTGGCAAACTAGAAGACACCATTAGCAGGAATCAAGTATACACTGAAAGAAAATATGCTTGAATTTCTCAAGTACATATGAATTGTTCATGTCCTGTATTTCTTTTTGTTGGGGGGTCTGGTCATGGGGCCTGAACTCTGGGCCTGGGCGCTGTCCTTCAGCTCTTCGGTCAAGGCTAGCACTCTACCACTTGAGCCACAGCGCCACTTCAGCTTTTTTCTTTTTGCTTGTGTGGTGCTGAGGAATCGAACCCAGGGCCTCACGCATGCAAGGCAAGTGCTCTACCACTGAGCCACCTTCCCAGCCCCATCATGTCCTGTATTTCTAAAGTAGTTCTCTATCATTAGATATCACTTCATAAACTTAGCAATCTTGGCTATATTGATTACTGCCATATTCATAGAAATGTTGGTCTTATTAATTTTTTTTCGGTACTAGGGCTTGAACTCAAGGCATTGAGCTCTTGCTTGGCTTTTATATTCAAGGCTGGTGCTTTACCACTTAAGCCATACCTTTTAGTCCAATAAGAGTTTTATTTTTGTTTTTTAATGTTTTTATTGTAAAAACACTGTACAGAGGGGTTACAGTTACATGAGCAAGGTAATGAGTACATTTCCTATGAAGCATTGGTGCCTCCTCATTTGTTTCTCCCCTACCATCCCTTCCCTCCCACCTCCACAACTACACCCCCTCCCTCCCCCCCACCTAAATTGTAAAGTTCATTTTTCAACATAGTGTCTTGTATATCTCATTGCTACAATGGGTCAACCTTCCTCTCCTCAAATTAGACCAACATCAAATACAGTGAAACAGGTTATACCATGGGGAAGGAACATAAAAAGCAACAACAACAAAAAAACCACATGGTGCATTATAGATACGTTAGAAACAATAGCAAGAAAGAAAAACCACTTGTGTCCCTATCTTGGGGTTCATTTTCCTTAACATCCTCTTATCTAGTCATATGTACATAGCTTTTGACCTTTTCTGCTTGTCCCAGACATACACTAATTATTGCAAATAAGGGAAACCATGGGACCTATGTTTCTTTGGGCCTGGCTTACTTCACTTAATATACTTTTTTCCAAGTCTTTCTATTTCCTAACAAATGGGCAATGCCATTCTTTCTGATGGAGGCATAGAATTCCATTTTGTGTGTGTGTGTGTGTGTGTGTGTGTGTGTGTGTGTGTGTGTGTGTGTATTTGTGTGTGTGTGCGCATATATATATATATATATATATATATATATATATATATCACATTTTCTTGATCCATTCATCCATGAGTGGCATCTGGGTTGGTTCCATGTCTTAGCTATGGTAAATAATGCTGCGATAAACATAGTTATGCTGATAGCTTTGGTATGGTATTGTTTGTGATCATTTGGGTAAGTACCCAAAAGTGGGATTGCTGGGTCATAGGGGAGTTCTATGTGTGGTCTTTTGAGGAACCTCCATACTGCTTTCCAAAGTGTTGAACAAGTTTACACTCCCATCAACAATGCAGTATGGTTCCCTTCTGGCCACATCCCCTCCAGCATCTGTTGTTATTAGAGTTCTTGATTATAGCCATTCTAACTGGGGTGAGGTGAAATCTCAATGTTGTTTTGATTTGCATTTCTTTTATGGCAATAAGTGTTTTTTTAATGTTAGAAAATTATTGATATTAAATTATATCACATATCTTAAAACACTTGTTTACATTTAGGTAATTTGAGGCTTTGGCAAGGAAGACAAAAATATCTTTCCTATTAGTGGGCCTCTTTTTTTGCTTCTTTTTATAGTTAACTAGCCTAAATTTTATTCCTTGTGACAAATTAACACTCTTCTATATCTGTGGGACACACGTATAGTGGTAATAATTCCAAGGAATGCTGTACAACCAACCATGAGAATATAAGGAAGCAGTACTTTGGGTTAGTGCAAAGGACATGTGGCTGTGGTGAGATGCTGCCCTCAAGTGGCTCCATGAAAAAAGGGTAGTTGAGTCCCCAGCATAGGGGGAAAAAGAGCAGTTGGAAAACAAGACCTCATGACTGACAGGAGATGTCCCCATGTATTCCTAGTAACTGCAGAATGTGAAGCTAAGTTGGAAAGAAGGCTGTAGGGCCCATGTTTGGAAGAGGAAAGTGAAAATGAAAATATAAACTGCTACTGATTTTACTGTTCATGCGACTTAATTAATGTTTGCAGAATGGATAGTGTAATAGGGACCAAATTATGTTCAACTTCCTCAGATAAACCCAACTTAGATATGGAATTGATTGGCCAGCTTTCTTTAGTGTGTCATAGGAAACTGTAGTTCATGAGATTGTTAATAAATGAATACAGGCTGGGAAGGTGGCTCAGTGGTAGACTGCTTGCCTTGCATGCCATGAGACCCTGGGTTCGATTCCTCAGCACCACATAAGTACAAAAAGCCACAAGTGGTGCTGTGGCTAAAGTAGTAGAGCACTAGCCTTGAGCTCTTCAGCTCCCCACAACCAACAAGAAAAAGGAAGAAAGGAAGGAAGAAAGAAAGGAAAAGAAAGAAAGAAGAAAAGAAGGAAAGAAAGAAAAGAAATGAATGGGTTCTCACAAGCAATCTCTTAGGAAACTCTTTTATAAGACAGTCTCTTTTGACATGCCCCTTTAGGCATATTTACTAGCAACTTGCATGCCATTCATTTAGTTAGCAGTGAGAGATATCACCACCTGAAAACTCTATATTCTTCTTCTCAGGTGACATTTTACCATCATTTAACTGACAGGCTATAGCCCAAAATAAAAAGCTATTGGCTTCCAGATTACAGTGGTTTTCACACTGAGAGTTTGGCTTTCTGGGTAATTCCTTCTTTGATTTAATATTTCCCTTTCTCACTTTCTACTCATGATTTCATTGAAGACCTGAGGAATGTCTTATGTTCCTACTTGTGGCTCAGAAACTGTTTAAGCTCTCATATAGCCAAGATTCTAAAATAACCCAAACACAACAGAGGGGGCACAAAAAGGAAAAATTTAGTCCAACAACAAACTATTACTAGTAGTGGCTCTTTATCTGTATGAGAAACCATACTTCTCAAGTAAAAGTTATATAGATATGTAGATATACTTTGCTATGTTATTTTGATTATAATCAGCTTGTTTGTATAGATAACTTTGTAATAAATGAAGGAATCAGAGGAGTTGGCTTTGTTTGGAACCTTTCTACATCATTTTCATTCCTTGCAAGTCAAGAGTCTTTTGTAGATGAATTGGAGACCTTACAAGTTAAGATGATTCAGAGAACAAGAAATCAGAGTCAGCCAAAGTCCAATGCTTTTATTTTTTTGTTTTTGATCCTGTTTTTGAAGCACAAAACATTTTCCTCTATTGACTAAGCTAGTCTTAGTTGATAAACCATAAGCCATTATGGTGCAACTCTTGTACTATACTTGGCTGTTCCTTAGGGTCCTAAATGACATTAAATTTTATTGAGATTTTCTTTATGTTCTTGGGTTTGTTTATTTTTTTTTTTTTATTGTTGTGGGGCTGTCCCTGAACTCTTTTTGCTATAGCTCCACTTCCAATTTTCTGGTGGTTTATTGGAGATAAGAGTCTCATGACTTTCCTGCCCAGGCTGACTTTGAACCACCAACTTCATAGCTCAGCATCCTGAGTAACTAGGATTACAGCCATGAGCCACCGGCACCCCGCTTGTTCCATGTTTTATATGCGTGATATAATGAAGAACTATAGGTTAAAAATCCAAGAACTGATTAAAGTAACTAGATCCTTTTGAATAACTTTTAGATTTTATTTCTTTATATTTCTTATTTCTTTTCAGATTTAAATATTGAAGATGATAAAATAAATTTTGTAAATGATTTGGTGACTGATAAAAGTAAACTACCAACTTTGAATACTGTTTCAAGTAGATCAGAACTACTTATGGTAAAAGGCCTCCTTTTAGATTTCAAAGAACAGAGCACTGAAGAAGCTGATTTGTTTAGGTATGTAATTTCCTAATGCTGTTATTGATTTTTATAAGAGAAGGTATTCTTTGTATGATCACAAGTTTAGATGTTATCAATATTTTACCATTGCTTTATCTCAACTTACTTTTTTATCATTATTTGTTTTATTGGCTATATTTGTTATATAAATTGCTCTTTGTAGGCAGTAATGAGTGTTGTTTCTTTTTTGTTTCAAGGGAATATTTTTCTTTTCAAGAAGATTTGGAAGGTTTTTTAAAAGAAAGATTTTATGTGGATAAAGAAAACTTTTGTCAGAAGAAATTAGTAGGTTTACATGAGGTAATAATATTTTCTTTCAGTATTTTTATAGAAGTAAAGAAGCATGCTTTTTAAAATAAATTTTAATCATCTACATCGACTGTTTAAAATGATCAAATACCTGATAATGCATTGGATGTACATCAATTAAGAGGTCAAATGTACTTGGAAGAAGAAGTTCTCAGCTTAGCTCTATATTGGAATTACTTGAGGAGTTCAGAAAAGGTTGAAGTCTGGTTCCTACCCAAATACATTATGTTATAATTGCTCTGATGTGCAGCTCAAGTATAGAGAATTTCAAAACCTCTGTCAGTAATTATAATCAAGATGTCTAGGAAATTAAGTAGTTATGTCTAATTTAAAAATTTGAAGCTAAAGCTAGAAATGTTGATTTGTGAGTTATATTTAAAGCAGATAATAGATGAGTTATATGAGAAGTGATCTCATTGAGAGAGTAAATTGTACATGACTGCATTTTAGATACTGCCAATGTCTAATAAGGGTGATAGCATCTTTGTGTATTCAAGGTCAATTTCTCAAAATAGCCCTTCTCACAAATTTGTTATTACGGTATTAATATATAAAAAATTCTAGCAGTTGGAACTATAAGTCACAGCTAAACAAACTTAAAATTTTAGGCCATAATACATTAGATACATTTACTAAATTACTTAGAATTTTATGACAAATGAAAATGTTTATATTTATAGCTTTTCTTAATATATTCAAAAGACATACATATAATCTCTTAAGACATTTAAAGTGTTTCCTTGCTTAGTGCCTTTCTTTCAGGCTTACGCCCCAAATCCTACCTATTCGGGAGTCTGAAATCTGTGAATGGAAGTTCAAAGCTAGCCTAGCAAGGCAGAAAAATCAGACTCTTATTTCCTTTTTTTTTTTTTTTTTTGGTCGGTCGTGGGGCTTGAACTCTAGGCTTGGACACTGTCCTTGTGCTCTTCAGCTCAAGGCGAGTGTTCTACCACTTGAGCCACAGCGCCACTTCCGGTTTTCTAGCGGTTTATTGGAGATAAGAGTCTCATGAACTTTCCTGCCCGGGCTGGCTTTGAACCATGATCCTCAGATCTCAGCCTCCTTAGTAGCTAGGATTACAGGTATGAGCCACCGGCGCCCAGCTCGGACTCTTATTACCAATGAACTAGCCTAAGAGCCAAGCTAGAAATGCCGCTCAAGAGGCTGAGCACTAGTCATGAATGAGCAAAAGCACAAGGCCCTGAGTGCAGATCGCAGAACCAGCAAATTAATTAATTAATTAAAATAGAATGAAGGGTTTTCTTACAGTTAACATTTTAACATGATAGTAAAAATACTAATTCATCTATTGTTGTCTTTTTCTTTCAGTTGTCCTTCTCCTCTCCAGTTAATTCTTAAGAGTAGTGCATTTAGTCAGTGTTACTTGTTCCTTACTTGTATTCCAGTTCTGCCAAATGAACGGAAAGTGTATTCCATAGGGGTGGAGCAGAGATTAATTCCATTACATGATGTCTTTTCATTTCTCCTCATTTATCATCTCTCATTTTCTAAAAAATTTTTGTCATTGTGGGCCTTTAACTTGGCCTACAAACTGTCTCTGAGCTCTTTTTGCTCAAGGTTTGTGCTCTACCACTTTGAGCCACAGTGTCACTTCTATTTTACTTGTTGATTAATTGGAGATAAGAGTCTCATGGACTTTCCTGTCTGGGCTAGATTTGAACTTCAATCTCAGATCTCAGCCTTCTGAGTAACTTGGATTACACTTGTAAGCCACCTGTGCCCAGTGGAGATTGTTGTGGGTTTTTTGTTTGTTTGTTTTTGCCGGTTTTGGGGCCTGAACTCTGGGCCTGGGTGTCCCTAAGCTCTTCAGTTCAAGGAGAGTGCTCTACCACTTAAGCCACTGTGCCACTTCCAGTTTTCTGGTGGTATATTGGAGATAAGAGTCTTGGGGACTTTCCTGCAGGGCTGGCTTTGAACTGCAATCCTCAGATCTCAGCCTTCTGAGTAGCTAGGATTACAAGTGTGAGTCACCAGCACCCAGCTGGGGATTGTTTTTAATTTACAATTATAAACTTTTGTTGTTAGCCAAAAAGAAGATTCTTTTACAGCTAGGGATATTCTACGTAGGTAATGAGTGACTATATAAGATGTTACTCCAAACGTTGTTTATAATAAGAATCTATTTTTAATTGTTATACTTGTAGTTTTTAAAAGTATCTATAACATTTAAAAAATTGAGTATGGCTTTATTTTCAAATTCAGTGTTTTTTTAATTCAAAAATACTTACTTGGAAAACCATCCTTAAAACTTCTTTTGATTTTATGTTATTTCAGCTATCAACTTTTCCTTCTCAGTGTGAATCCTTAATATCTACAAATATCAGACAAAAAATTGATACTCCATCATCCTCAGAACCAAAGGAGTCATTAAATTTCATGCCAGAAGTAATAAATTATATAGATGATAGTGAAAAACTTTTGCAAGGAGGTGAGAATTAACTTTAAAATATATTTCTTATTTTTTAAAAAAAAACTGTTATCCTAGTTCTTACTAAAATTTTTGTGAAATATTTTATAAAAGGGTTCTATAGAAATGGTTCTGTGGCTCAAAGTGGTAGAGTGCTAGCCTTGAGCAGAAGAGTTCAGTGACAGTACCCCAGCCCTGAGTTCAAACCCCTTGACCTACCAAAAAAAAAGTGTTCTGCAGGCTGCATGTTGCAATCTCAGAGTTATTATTAATATGACTTTGTATTGCCATTCTTTTTTTTTCCAGTGTTGGAAATTGAAACCAGGATTTCAAACAAGTTAGGTACACACTTAGAAATAGCTATCAAAGCACTATCCCAACTTGTCATTGTCTTTATATTACTTTTAGGCTTAAAACTCTGAAATTGATCTGAATTTTTCAAAATAATTGTATTAAAAAACCCTAAAACACCTATGACTACACTGATTTTGTGTAAAGTTTTCTTAAGTACAATAGAAGCACTATCAATTTCTTTACTGGTGTTTAACTCTGGAGCAACTCACAAGTAAGGCACTCAGAGTAAGGATTCATAGAATCAAATGCCTATGAGTCATAACCGATCATTTCATTCCAGTTAGTCTTTTTTTTTTTTTTTATTGTAAAGCTACTATACAGAGGGTTACAGTTACATGAGTGAGGTTATGAGTACACTTCCTCTTGAACATTGTTACCCCCTCCATTGTTTTCCCCCTACCATCCCCTCCCTCCCTCCCTTCCCCGAGGTTCTTTTTTTTTTTTTTTTTTGATTGTGATTTAATGATTACATAATTTCAAAGTCACAAGTTCATTCTAACTTCCCTGGAGCAAATTGTCTACCACAGTCTATAATATATAACAGTGTTCACATGTTATATACCATATTTGTGATCAGCAGCATGAGGATATTTAGTAGTGGTTCAACCAGATGAGCGGGAGTTCTTTGTTTCTTAGGTCCTGTTAGTTTTGTCGTATCACCTAACCTTTTGGATTTAGCATCCACTTATGAGGGAGACCATGTACCGTTTGTCTCTTCGTTCTTGGCTTACCTCGCTCAACATGATTCCTTCTAGCTCCATCCATTTCCCTGCAAATGCCATTATTTTGTCATTTCTAATGGCTGCATAATATTCCATTGTGTATAGATACCACAATTTTTGGATCCATTCATCTGTGGTGGGGCACCTAGGTTGTTTCCATATCCTAGCTATTGCGAACAGTGCTGCAATAAACATGGAGGTGCACGTGTCCTTGTATATTGGTTCCTGTTGTTCAGGGTAGATGCCTAGAAGTGGTATGACTGGGTCGTAAGGGAGGTCAATCTTTAGCTTTCTAAGGACCCTCCAGACTGCTTTCCAAAGTGGTTGTATAAGTGTACATTCCCACCAGCAGTGTAATAGGGTTCCTCTTTCTCCACATCCCCTCCAGCATTTGTCGTTGGCTGATTTGTGGATGTGGGACATTCTGACTGGGGTAAGGTGGTATCTCAGGGTTGTCTTTATTTGCATTTCCTTCACCACCAGGGATGATGAACATTTCCTCATGTGTTTCTTTGCCATTTTTATTTCTTCATTTGAGAAGTCCCTCTTTAGTTCCCTTGCCCATTTAGTAATTGGTTTGTTAGGTTTGGGAGGGATTAGTTTCTTGAGTTCCCTGTATATACAGGATGTTAACCCCTTGTCTGATATATTGCTGGTAAATATTTTTTCCCAATTAGTTGGTTGTCTTTCTAGCTTAGTTGCGATAGATTTAGCTGTGCAGAAGCTTTTTATTTTAAGGTAGTCCCATTTGTCGAGTCTCTCTCCAACTTGTTGTGACCCTGGGACTCTGTTCAGGAAGTTCCTTCCTGTGCCTATTAGTTCAAGTGTCTCTCCTACTCTGTCCTGCAGTAGTTTCAGAGATTCAGGTTTAATGTTAAGGTCTTTAATCCATTTTGAGTTGATGTTGGTGCATGGTGATAGGCTGGGGTCCACTTTTAGTTTTCTGCATGTGGCTGCCCAGTTTTCCCAGCACCAGCGGTTGAAGAGGCTGTGTTTCTTCCATTGTATGTCTTTGGCTCCTTTGTCGAATATCAGCTGGCTGTAGGCCTGTGGATTTATATCTGGATCCAGTTAGTCTTAATAAATATTAATGAGTTATTTTTGTTAGCTCATATTAGTTATATGGGGGCATTTTATTGCTACATCTTCACATGTTCACACTGTATCTGATTAATCTTACCCCATATATCACACTTCCTGTCCCCTAATGAGTTATTTTTAATGACATTTTGAGCCCAAATGTTGTGTGGTACTGGGGCTTGAACTCAAGACCTCCCACACTTGCTTGGTTTGTTGTTTGAGGTTTGTTATTCCCTACCACTTGAGCCATACCTTCATCAGAAATGTCATGTCCCTCAATAATCTTGAATGGAATTTGTAAGAGTTGTTGAGGTCAAGGAACTGGAGGTTCGTGGTAGGGAGTCTGTTATACCCACTGAGAACCTGATTATTTGCCACCAACAGATACCGACTTTACCAATAATTTTACTGTCACATTTCCATCCCTAACTTGTCACATGTTATATTAAAGAGAACACAGTAGGTACCATAGAGAATGTCTAACAAGGAAAATTATGCAAACTATTGAAAGACTGGAGAATGGGGAGTGTTTGAGGTACCTTTGGGCTGTGACAACAGCAATTAAAAAAAAAAACCTATCTGCTTTGTACACCAATGATATTATTTATTACAAGGAGATCTCAACTAATAGCTCCTTTCTTATTTCCCATAGTCATGGTAAATAAAATTACCTATAGATTAGCCAATTCTGAGAATTTAATAAAATGGAATATGGGGCTGGGAAGGAGGCTCAGTGGTAGAGCGCTTGCCTTGCATGCATGAGGCCCTGGGTTCGATTCCCCAGCACCACATAAGCAAAAAGAAAAAAGCCGGGAGTGGCGCTGTGGCTCAAGTGGTAGAGCGCTAGCCTTCAGCTGAAGAGCTGAGGGACAGTGCCCACCCAGGCCCAGAGTTCAGGCCCCACGACCAGACCCAAATAAAATAAAATAAAATAAAATGGAATATATGGTCTTTAGATGATTGACTTCCTTCACTTTGAATTTTTAATTTTTTTTTTTTTTTTGGTTGGTTGTAGGTCTTGAATGGGCCTGGGTCCTGTCAGCTCAAGGCCAGTGCTCTACCACTTGAGCCACAGTGCCACTTCCAGTTTTCTGGTGGTTAATTGGAGATAAGAGTCTCTCAGGAGGCTGGAAGGTGGCTCAATGGTAGAGTGCTTGCCTTGCATGCATGAGGCTCTGGGTTCGATTCCTCAGCACCACATAAGAAAAAAGAAAAAAGCCGGAAGTGGTGCTGTGGCTCAAGTGGTAGAGCGCTAGCCTTGAGCTGAAGAGCTGAGGGATAGCACCCAGGCCCAGAGTTCAGGCCTCACGACCAGCCACACCACCCTCCCCCCCCCAAAAAAAAGAGTCTCCCGGATATACTTGCCTGTTTGGCTTAGAATTGTAATCCTTAGATCTCAGCCTCCTGAGTAGCTAGGATTACAGGTGTGAGCCACTAGCACCTGGCTAAAATTATTTTTAATTAGTTATATAAAGAAGTTTCAGGCCAGGTGCCAGTGGCTCATGCCTGTAACCCTAGCTACTCAGAAGGCTGAGATCTGAGGATCGCAGTTTAAAGCCAGCCCAGGCAGGAAAGTCCATGAAACTCTTATCTCCAATAAACCACAAGAAAACTGGAAGTGGCGCTGTAGCTCAAGTAGTAGAGAGCTAGCCTTGAGCTGAAGAGCTGAGGGACAACGCTCAGGCCCAGAGTTCAAGGCCCACGACCAACAAAAAAAAGAGGTTTCAGTTCTACAAGTCAGGTTATGAATACAGTACATCTTGATCAATGTTACCCCTTCCATCATTCTCTCCCGTTTTTTTTCTTCCCATCTCTGAACTTAGCATAATATTTTTGTTTATTTGTATTATAGATTATATCAGTACTTCATTTTTACAACCAAACTATATTACATTAGAGATCTCTATCATATTTGTTTATTCATACATCTGTTGATGGAGTTTTGGCTTGTTTCTACCTTTTAGATATTATAAATAATCCTATATGGACATTTATGTGAAGGCTTTGATCACATATTTATTTTCATTTTTCTTAGGTATTTGCCTAGGAGTGGAATTGCTGGGTTATATAGTAACTTTATGTTTAATATTTAGAGAAATTGCTAGAATGCTTTCCTGTGATTGCATAATCTTTCATTCCCAGCAACAATATATGAGAGTTCTAATTATGTACTTTTTCACCCAACTTATTATTCTCTGACTTTTTGATAGCCATCTTAGTGGGTATGAAGTGGTCTCTCATTGTGGTTTTGATTTGCATTTCCTATTGGCCAGTGATGTTGAAAATCTTTTCATATTCTTATTGGCCATTTGTATCTCTTCTCTGAAGAAATGTCTGCTAAGATCCTTTGCCATTTTTATTGGGCTTTTTTCCCTCGTTATTTAATTATAAGCTTGTCCTATTTGTTTTCATTTCTCAATCTCTCCTTTTCTATCTTGTTTTGGACTTTTTAAGGAAATTTTAAGGAAGAAAATTTAGACAAATTTTACACATTTAGTAGAGAACATGGTATTTTGATCTTTGTGTATAGTGAAATGGTTACCATAAGGAAGCTAATTAATGTATCTATCACTTCACAAAGTAACTTTTTTGTGTATAGTGAGAGTACTCACAATCTACTATCTTAGTGACTTTCAATTGTATAATACATTATTATTCTAGTCATTCTGCTTCCTTTTATACTTTTGTTGACTGTTGGAGAGGGAGAAAGGAAGTGTGCATAGGTCAGGAGATGGGTGAAACAGTTATTAGCCAATTAAGTTAGTATTTCCTCAGAAGTCTAAATCTCTATTTCATTCTAAAAGGAACATGAAAACAGCAAGGATACTTTAAAAAGAAAAAACCATTCAACAATGTTACTAAAAATTAATTTAATGGTGCTTTTGTTGATGGTCAGTTTTTTTCCTTTTTTTCTTTCAGATCTCACTACTACACATGGAGTTGATACTGAAAATATAAAAAGCAGTTCCACAGAAATAGTGACTATTCAAAGTCAGAGTGAACCAGAGTGCAGTGAACCAGGTAACAATTGTCAATAAATTATTTTGCTTATCAGGGTAACATATATGATGCAGAAGTACAATATGTTCACATTTATGGTCTACTGTGAATCAGTTTTCCTGTTTCAAGTTTGATCATTATAATCCTAGTTATTTTTTCTTTTTTATCTGTTCCTTGTATTTTCCCTATCCGAGTCCTATCAGCATCAAAAATGAATATATAGCTGAGTGCTGGTGGCTCACATCTGTAATCCTAGCAACTTAAGAGGCTGAGGTCTAAGGGTCCCCATTCAAAGCCAGCCAGTGCAGGAAAGTCTATGGGAATCTTTTTTTTTTTTTGTCATAGGGCTTGAACTCAGGGCATAGATGCTGTCCCTGGGCTGTTTTGCTTAAGGCTAGTGATCTACCACTTGGAGCCACAGCACCACTTTTCGTTTTTCTGATACTTAATTGAAAATAACAGTCTCAGGGACTTTCCTACATGGGGTGGCTTTGAACCACAATCCTCTGATCTCAGCCTCCTGACTATCTAGGATTATAAGCATGAGCCACCAGAGGTTAGGGGTAAGATTCTTATCTCCAGTTAACCACCAGAAAACTGGAAGTGGAACTATGGCTAAAAGTGGTGGAGTGCTAGCCTTGAGCACAAAAGCTCAGGGACTGTGCCCAGGCCCTGAGTTCAAGCCACATGATGAATATTTTTAAAAAAGGTGAATAATAATATATAGAAGAGAGTTACAACGACTGGAGAAATGGAGTAAATAACATTAATATTTAAAATAGAAATCCTAAGATATAGCTTAGTAAATAAAATTTTGTATTTTATCTTAGCATTAATAATCATGCTGATCTTTATTGCCCTTCTGTAAAGTTTAATTTTTTAATCTCTCAGAGCAATCCTATCATTGTCTGCTATATCACTGTTTTAACTTATCTTGAAACCTTAGAGTCAGCTTTCATTCCAGTATAATGCTAAATTGTTTTTGTTTAGCTATATTGTTGATGATATTGTTTAATTACATTTTTAGTAGATCACATTAATCAACTATTTAGATGCTTACTGCCTTATTTATTAAAATGATAAAACCACCCTTCCTACTTAATAAATGATGATCCATTTTTCAAGTTCATTCTATAAATTTGTATTTCTATGCTGTCATCTAGAGTCTAGACTCATTAATGTGAAGAATAATGCTATTAAGTTAACATTACTAATATTTAGCATAAAAACAGTACTATCTCTTACATATTAATAACATAAGCTTTCAGTATTAAAACCAGTGTTCATTTAAAGCTCTTAGCCTTAGCCTTTACCTGACATAAGAAATGCAGTAAATTTAGCTGTCATTGTAATTTTTTAAATCATCACTGTTGTAGTCAAGATACAATGTGATAATTCCTTAAAAGATGGAAATGTAAGACTTACTTTGTATCTCAAATAACCCAAATTTCAGTTGGCGGAACTAGATTTTTTAATTCAAGGCCTTTTACTTGTTAGGCAAGTACATTACCACCTGATCTATGCCTCCAGCCCTGCTTTTTTATGCTGGTTATTTTGGTAATTGAGTCTAGTGGACCTTTCTGCTTAGACTACATTCCACTTCAGCTATCTGGATGTCAGCCTCTTGAGGACCTAGCATTTCAAGCATAAGTCGTTGGTGCCCAGCTCTGTATATTTCTTTTCATTAAATTTTTTTGTTTTGATAAAAGGATTACATATAAATTTGTTATGAAATATTCTTAATTTAATTTTTTTATTTTATATAATGCTATATAACTTTTAAATTTTCATATATTCCAGGAAAATTGGAAATATCACTATCTAGCCTCAACACAATAAGCCAACAGTTTTCAGTGAATTTGTTACATACAGAACTTCAAACATTTTCATTTTCTCCTATTTGTAAAATGTAAGTAAAGATTATGTCTAAATATTTGTAGTTGTGACTCAAATGTTAGAGTGCCTGCCTAGCAAGTACATGACCCTTAAAAACGTTCATTATCTTGAGATAAAGTCACTTCATTCTTATACTTCTTCTAGTTATAGAACTAGGAGGGGCTGGGAAGGTGGCTCAGTGGTAGAGCGCTTGCCTTGCATGCTCGAGGCCCTGGGTTCGATTCCTCAGCACCACATAAGCTAAAAGAAAAAAGCCGGAAGTGGCGCTGTGGCTCAAGTGGTAGAGCACTAGCCTTGAGCTGAAGAGCTGAGGGACAGTGCCCAGGCCCAGAGTTCAGGCCCCACGACCGGACCCCAAAAAAAAAAAAAAAAATAGAACTAGGAGCATAACCAATACAGTTCCCTCTCCCCCACTATAAACCTGGAATATTTTGTGTTCTAAGTAATATACCTTCAGTATAGTTATAGGGAAGTCTTCAAGTTCCTAATGAGTTACTCTATACCTGGAAGAATTATGTCCTAGCTTTGAGTTCTTAGTTATGATGTATGAATCTTCTAGAGAAGAATGCAGTTGGATGACTAGGGACAGCTGCATAGGCATCCATAATGGTCTCTATGTGGTAAACTATAGAATGGGGGAAGCCAGTATCAAAGATCCCAAGCATGTCTACATTTTCTGTTTAAGAATTATTTGCATTTGGGGTATATTATGCTACCATGAACTAGGATAGTAGTCTAGAAGCCCTAAAAATAACACGGGATAGGAATAGAAACTATATATAATTTGTTTAAAATTCTTTTAGTCTCTTAGCTAATGTGAAAGACATTTCTTTACAGGACATATACTGTCTTTATTGGCTTATTTTTCATTCTTATTACCCTAATACACCTGATAAGGCAGATTAGCAATTACAAACAGTAGCAGAAATTAGTATAATCTTGAATTTCAATTTAATATTAGAAGTGTTTATGTAACTACACTAAACTATTCAATCTCACAAGTTACATATCTGTTGTTTTTACTCCAATATCTATTGTTATAACTCATAAGGAACAAGTCTTATCAAATGCACTATGATTTGGCAATCAGAACAAAAAAACACTTTTTAATTAGTTAAGGTTCCAGAGCCATTTGAAATAACTGAACACTGTCTCATTACTGCTTCATTTTCCAGCAAGAGAGAAACCACTTGCATTTGGCTTGTGACTATAAAATCTTAAAAATCCCCATTTAGAAAAACAAACTGTTTAAATAGGGATACAGCTGGACTCATTGCAATATTGAGATGTACAAGTCATTATGTTGAAAAATGAACTTTACAACTTTGGCCGGGGATGGGAAGAGGAAACAAAGAAGGAGGCAACAATGCTTGATAAGAAATGTACTCATTATATTGCCCATGTAATTGTAACCCCTCTGTATGGTATTTTTACAATTAAAAAAATCTCCAGTTAGGGCTGGGAAGGTGGCTCAGTGGTAGAGTGCTTGCCTTGCATGTATGAGGCCCTGGGTTCAATTCCTCAGCACCAAGTAAGCAGACAAAGCTGGAAGTGGCGCTGTGGTTCAAGTGGTAGAGCGCTAGTCTTGAGCTGAAGAGCTGAGGGACAGTGCCCAGGCCCAGAGTTCAGGCCCCACAACTGACAAAAAAAAAAAAAGAAAAATCTCCATTTAAAAAATTTATCTAAGACTAGGACATGACTCAGTTTATAGAGTGCCAAGCCCAAAGTCCTGAATTCAAACAAACCCCAGCACTGCCAAAAAAATTGATTATTCCTCAATTATAAAACTAAAAGAAACTGCTAAAAAACAATTTAAAGTGAAGATAGTAAACAGTGTACCTTTAACTTTTTATATTCAATTACTTTTATTTCAAAATACAACATTTTGGATGTAAGTATAATACTCGGTTAATGAATATTTTTAGTGTTTATACATGTAAGAAGCTATGCTAAATTTCAGGGGCTGAAAAGTCTGCATGATATTTTATCTCCATAGTAACTAGCTACTTGAGAGCATATTTTTTATGACCAAAGAATGAATCAATTTCAGGTATGTCTTCAGAAAGCTTTACTTTCTCAAAAGCAAAAATATCCATGCTATACATGGAAACAAAATATTTCCTCTTTTTTCTTTAAAATACTTGCTTATAACAAGGTATCTATCAAAGAAACCCTGATAAGATTCAGATTTTTCTATCACATGACCATGTTTTTGTATTACATGAGTAAAACTGGACAGTTTAGATATAAAACCTAGCTTATTCCTACTGTACATTGTCAGTTTAACTAGCCGTATTCATAATTAGCATCTGCATATATATAACTTATGAACAGAGAAAGAACATGATCAGTTCTCCATCAGTGTAAATGAGAGGTTGGAAACATAAAGGACTTGTCCATTATGTCTCTGCTCTACCAAGAATGGTAGTATTTGTTACTGATGAGCTGTGGTTTACACTGTCACGAATATTTCCTCCCTTCCCCCTTAAGGGCCCCAAAACATACACAAACACACATTACATAGCCATACATGTATCAATATTGAAGAATCTAAACTAAGATTAAGACTTGAAAAGTCTTAGGGAAGGTAGAACCAATAGGACTTTCTCATGGTTCTGATTCTTAGCCAATAGAAGGTCCACAGTTTCTCCATAAATAGATTCAAAGATAGCAATTTCATAAACAAAACAAACAAAAACAACAAGCAATGGAAATATCTACATAAATGATAACCATAGTAGTTTTACTTATCTTGCATTTTTTGTTTTTGATGGCTTATAGGCTTGGTATTATCTAGTTTATGAAGGAAAGTGCTAAAAGAATCCCAAGTCAGTGCCCTCTGGCTCCACATTTCATTGAAGGAGACAGAGGCAGGAGTAATTTTATAAGGCAAACAGCAGTTACCTAATTAAATAATAAAGGAATGTATCAATGACCAGACCTTCCTAGGGAAGGAATAAGTAAATATTTGAAATTGAGTCTATGGAGCTCTACTTTAGTTTATATGTTTATAAAATAGAGTTTTTGTTTTCACTTGTATGAGAGTGTAAAAAACACAAAATATTTTTCTTTCTTTTTTTTTTTTTTGGGGGGGGGGGGTCCGGTCATGGGGCCTGAACTCTGGGTCTGGGCGCTGTCCTTCAGCTCTTCAGCTCAAGGCTAGCGCTCTACCATTTGAGCCACAGTGCCACTTCTGGCTTTTTTTTTTCTCCTTATATGGTGCTGAGGAATCAAACCCAGGGCCTCATGCATGCAAGGCAAGCACTCTACCACCGAGCCACCTTCTCATCCCCCAAAATATTTTTCTTAAAACAGAATGTTCGCCAGGTGTCAGCGGCTCATGCTTGTGATCCTAGCTACTCAGGAGGCTGAGATCTGAGGATCGTGGTTCAGTGACAGCTCGGGCACAAAAGTCCATGAGACCTTCATCTCCAACAAACCACCAGAAAACCAGAAGTGGAGCTGTGGCTCAAGTGGTAGAATGCTAGCCTTGACCTGAAGAGATGAGGGATAGCACCCAGGCCCAGAGTTCAAGCCCCATGACCGACAAAAAAAAAAGTTCTTGCATAAAAGACTATGGTTAGTTAATAAATTAACTTTATTTTTTTTCTTTTTTCAGTAGTTCACATATTGTTGAAGAAACAGTGAACAAATATTCTATGCCATGGCAATTACAAATCTGCAGAAGCTCTCTCATCTCATTTTTGCTTACAGGTACAGTGATTGCTTTTGAATGGTAAATAGAAAGCATAGTTGAAGGCCGGGCACCAGTGACTCACGCCCGTAATCTTAGCTACTCAGGTGGCTGAGATCTGAGGATCACGATTCAAAGCCAGCACAGTCAGGAAAAAGAAATACAAGCAGTACATTAAACATTCCCATCTGAATAGTTTCTATTTCCAAGTCTGAAATTGTGAAATTGTAGAAAAAAAAAAACTAAATAAAACAGTATTTTAAATTTAAGCTGGAGGCCTGGCTCCACCAATGAGTTGCATTTGGAGACCAAAATCAAAGTGAAAACAGGAACCCAAGAGAGCACCCAATTATCTTTCACTTCAAGATTTATGCTAAACCTTTGAGTTTTTGTTTTGATGTCTTCATGGAGCATAGAGTCAAGAAATATATGAGGTGTCTGTTAGGAGATCCCTGGATAAAACTGGGTGACCAAAAAACTGTACTATTGAACCAAGGGCAGAAGAGACATTGGTTAAGAGAGGAAGTCAGTTTTGTTTGTTTGTTTTTTGTTGGTCATGGGGCTTGAACTCTGGGCCTGGGCGCTGTCCCTCAGCTCTTCAGCTCAAGGAAAGCACTCCACCACTTGAGCTATAGCGCCTCTTCTGGTTTTTCGGTGGTTTATTGGAAATAGGAGTCTCACGGTCTTTCCTACCCGGGCTGGCTTTGAACTGTGATCCTCAGAGCTCAGCCTCCTGAGTAGCTAGGATTACAGGCATGAACCACCAGCGCCCGGCTTTTTCTTTTATGCATTCAAAATTTGGCTTCTGATATAACATATGTAACATGTATTCTAGGAAAGAAATAAGCATAACAGAAAAAACAAGAGCAGACAAAAATAAGCTACCATATAGGAGACCCTAAATAAATTTCTAGTGCTGAAGGAGAAGAAAAGAAAAACATGTCCTCTTATGTATTATTACTCAGAAGCCAAGCATCATGCGAAATTGCCATCTGAATTAAAAAACAGGTGGTGATTTAAAGTATCTCAAGTTGACAGTGCCCGTCCCCCAAACAAGCAGGTCACGTCTAGAGGAAAATACATTCTTTCTGGATGAATATAGTGTAATCTCTGCAGTAAAGAACTTCCCCAAAGTACAAAGGAGCTAACAGAAGAAAGTCACCAAATAGGTTTCACCAGGGAGATCATGCAGAAACAGCATATCTTGTATGGAGATTATGTACTGGATAGTCAAGTATGTGTTTAAATAAAATACATGTGAAGTAGATGGAACCGAAAAAAGAAATATGAACAAGGAACAGAAGAAATGATCAAGGAAAATTGCAAAAGAATTCCAAAATGGAAATCTAAAATAAGCAAATCAAAAGCTTCTCAACAGATTTAGTAGTACATTAGGCACAGGTGAAAGATTTATCAACAAAAAGTTTCAAAGAAATTATTCAGAATCTAGTACAGAGGAACAGAGATGAAAGAAAAGAGATGTTGAAGGATGGGAAGGCTGAGAGAGATGGAGGCAGAGTTAACAGGAAATAAGGAAGAGACCACATTTGTAAAGAAATGATGATTGAAGATTTTTCCAGAATTGGTGATTAACAGCAGTTTTTTAATTTCCATGTAGAATGGAAAAAAAAGATCTCCTAAACATATTTGTTATGGTTTGACTTGAAACACTGAAATGTTCTCCCCAGGCTCTTATGTTGATGGCTTGGTCACCAGCTAGTGGCATTATTTGGGGAGATGGTAAAAGCGTTAGGAGGTGGGAGCTGGTTGGAAGCAAGTGCTTTTTGTTTCTCTGCTTCCTGGCCACCATGATGTGAGCAGCCTCTGACACACATGTCTGCTGTCATGATGATATTCTGCCTTGTCTCTGTCATGGTATTCTGCCTTGTCTCTGTCATGATATTCTGCCTTGTCTTGTTCCTAGAAATGGGTCAGTCCAACCTTGGCCTCAAACTATGATCCAAACAAAGTTTTCTCTTCATTAAACTGTTTTTTTATCAGGGAGTTATCACAGCAATATTAAAAAATCCTAATACTATGTCATAGTGATGGTACATTATTATAGTGATCTGAAGAGTAAAAAAAGGAAAATGAAAAAGTAACTTCTCAATGACAGCAATGAAAACCCTTCAGCATACTGAGAATAAATCTTATATCCAGAAAATCTAAAATTCAAAACAAGGATAAATTAAAGATATTTGCAGAAAACAAAACATCTGGACTAAATGGCACATGCTTGTAATCCTAGTACTTGAGAGGCAGAAGTAGGAGGATCAAGAGTTTGAGCATATTGCTGGGTATTGGTAGCTTATATCTATAATCCTAACTACTCAGTAGGCCGAAACCTGGAAGATAACAATTTGAGGGCAGCACATGCAGAAAAGTCTGCAAGAGTCCATCTCCACAATTAACTAGCAAAAAGCCATATTTAGACATAGCTCAAGTAGTAGAGTAACAGCTCTGAGCAAGAAAGCCTAGTTACACCATGAGGCCCTGTACTGGCATGAGTGGTGGGGGCACTAAATAGCAAGATTGTTTTACACAAAGGAAAAACAACTGGAGAGACCTATAGAATGCCTTCAGGTAGACGGGAAGGCCTGACATTGGAGAAAGAATGATGATGGGAAATGTTTGTGTATGTGCACAAAAATGTGTTGATACTTTATCAGTAACAAGAACACCTGCTTAGATTTTTTTTTTTTGGGGGGGGGTCTGGTCGTGGGGCCTGAACTCTGGGCCTGGACACTGTCCCTCAGCTCTTCAGCTCAAGGCTAGCACTCTACCACTTGAGCCACAGCGCCACTTCCGGCTTTTTTCTTTTTGCTTATGTGGTGCTGAGGAATTGAACCCAGGGCCTCATGCATGCAAGGCAAGCACTCTACCACTGAGCCACCTTCCCAGCCCACCTGCTTAAATTTTTCAGGACAAGATAGTGCTGTGTTAGAAAGGGAAAATGAAAGTCTTATAAGACAAAGCCTCATAAATTTCCCAGTGTTTAGAGAAAGATATTTACTTGGTGGTAAGTATATAGTTGTCATTTTAATCTTACTTTCACATATGCATGCACACATATATACATATACATGTACATATTGAGTTGGTTGAAAGAAGACAAAAAATTCAGACAGTATTACTTGATTAACACAAAACGAAAATTTTAATCTACAGTAGTAGGACATCTACAGTTTAATCTACAGTTGTAGGACATGAAACAGTAGGAAGGAGTGGGGAATGGAGAACATTAGAAAGCTAGTATAGTAGAGTAACAAGGAAACTGGAATGTTATGTATGTGTTCATTTTCTTGACTGTGGAAATGAATTCACAAAGCCTAAATTTTTACTCTAAATGGTTGCCACTTGAAAATTAAAAAAAGATTTGTTTGTTGTATATCACTTATACTTCATCAAAGCTAGCAAAATAATAGTTGTCTCATGATTATTTTAGGGATTGCTTAATAGTGCTTATAAGCACTTAGCATAGTATCAATTTTTTTGGTAACTTGTAATTACTATTATTTAGTACCAGTATTTTTTATTACTATCACAAAAGCCCCTAAAATTAGGATTTCACCAGGCAATGGTGTTTCATGCCAGTAATCCTAGCTACTCAGGAGGCTGAGATCTGAGGATCATGGTTCAAAGCTACCCCAAGCAGAAAGTCCATGAGACTTAACTCCAGTTAACCATCAGAAAACTGGAAGTGGTACTGTGGCTCAAAGTGGTAGAATTGCTAGCCCTGAGTACAAAAGCTCAGGGATAGTTCCCAGGCCCTGAGTTCAAGCTCCATAATCTACAAAAAAATAAATAAACTAGGATTTCAAAATTCATGATCCTGATTTTGAAGAGATTCCTGCATTACAAATAGTAATAATAAGTGCTGTGTTATTTCATTTCTTTCATGTGTTAACATTTTCCTATTTAGATTTTAAAAAATGAAGCAGTGAGCTCTGTGGCACAATATCTAAGATACTAATCAACATAAAATCTGAATAAAATAATGTCTTGTTGAGGTTTATTATAATGAATTAGAGTTTCTGAATAAACAACTTTTATATTCAAAATATTATGAAATATATCAATTTAGTGATTAAATCATGGTCTAACAAAATATGGTTCCTTCCCCTATTTAATAAATACTAATTTCAGCTTTTTAATGTTTCCAAAGATTTAGATAAATAGTTTATGTGACTTCTATTGTTACAGTAACTTAGACTTTTACAAATGTTAGCAACTTAACAAAATACAAGATATAACTTCAAGTTTCATTATTTGTCTAATGTATGAAAATGCATTTCATTGGTAAAGACCAGTATAATTCTGTTAATTGTGTTTTCATTCTGTCTGTGCTATGCATTGTTTTGTTTGTTGGTTGTTTATTTTTAAGGGCCAACCATTGAAGAGCCCAACAGACAACATTCAGTTACAGAGTTGAGAAAAATCTTTTCTATCGAAGAAGAAGGGCTTGTGATTAGTCCCGTAAAGGCAGCATGTTGGAAACAAGTAGGACTAAATCCAGTAATGACAGAAACTTTGGAACATCTGAATCCATATTTGCACCTTGACAATCTATCTTCTAGTGATAATAAAATGGAAATACACTTGTCTAAAAAAGGACTTCCATTAGAATGTAAGTACATAATACTAAATATAACTTGTGTGAATATTTTAATGAGAAAATGTTAGGTACTGGATTTCTTCTCTGATTCAAAAAAATAAGTTCTAGCATTCAGTCTACCTTTGGCAATGCCAGAAATTAGTAATTTTGGCTTCTCTGGGCCCTATTTCTAGAAAAATAAGGAAGTTTGACTAGCTAATTCTAAAATCCTAGTCTGTACTAGAATTCTAGTCTCAGTTCATAAATGTCTAGATGTTCAGTTACAATGATTTTTACGTAAATACTTAAATGCTAGTACTGATTCTCTTTAAAGCAGCACAATGTTTTATGTTACCTAGTAGCTAAACTTTGGCATTCAATAATATCAAGTAATTAACTCTCAAAACTTTCTTTGTTGCTGGTGCCAGTGGCTCATGCCTGTAATTATAGCAGTTCAGGAAGTTGAGTTCAGAGGATTATATGGAAGCCAGTCTGGGCAGAAAAATCCATGAGACTCTTATCTCCAATAAAACTACCAAAAAAAAGAGCTGGAAGTGGAGTTGTGGCTCAAGTGGTAGAGCCTAGGGATAGTACAAAATATTCCCTTTTGCCCCTTCCTCTCTACCACCCTCTTTTGAGATTCTTGTTAACCACTGGGAAATGTTGGTTTCACTTGCTGTAGAATTTAATTTATAGAATCATAGTATGAGCTCATTGTTTCTGGATTCTCTACTCACAATTTCAGATTTATCTATGGTATTGATATCATCACTAGTTTATTCCTTTTAGTTGTTGAATTTTTTTTTTTTGGTCATGGGACTTGAACTCTGGGCCTGGGTGCTGGCCCTCAGCTCTTCAGCTCAAGGCTAGTGCGCTACCACTTAAGCCACAGCACCACTTCCGAGTTTCTGGTAGTTTATTGGAGATAAGAGTCTCATGGACTTTCCTGCCCAGGCTAGCTTTGAACAGTGATCCTCAGATCTCAGCCCACTGAGTAGCTAGGGTTACAGGTGTGAGCCATCAGCACCCAGCTGAAAATTTTTTTATCACAGGAATATTACCTGAGTTTATCACCGCCCCGAGATTTATTCCCCAGTTTTTAATTATTGTGAATAAAATACATGAGTGTTCTCATACAAGTCTTGTGGCCATGTTATCATATCTCTAAAGTAAAAATCTAGAAATAAAATAGTTAATTCTTAGGTGTATGTTTCATTTTTTAAAAAATCTATTAACTATGCTGTGAGTGTGGATTAGTGGTAGAGTGCTTGCCTCACATGCATGAAGCCCTGGGTTCTATTCCTCAGTACCACATACATACACAGAAAAAGCCCAAAGTGATGGGTGGTTCAAGTGGTAGAGTGTTAACCTTGAGCAAAAGAAGCTCAGAGACAGTGTGTAGGCCCAGAGTTCAGGCCCCAGGACTGGCAAAAAAAAAAGGGGGGGGGCTGGGAAGGTGGCTCAGTGGTAGAGTGCTTGCCTTGCATGCATGAGGACCTGGGTTCAATTTCTCAGTACCACATAAACAGAAAAAGCCAAAGTGGCTCTGTGGCTCAAGTGGTAGAGCACTAGCCTTGAGCTGAAGAGCTGAGAGACAGCACCTAGGCCCAGAGTTCGGGCCCCATCACTGACAACAACAACAAAAAAGTTTTATTGGATATAATTCATATATCTTCTAGTTTACCCATCTAAACTATTTTAACTTTAAACCATTTATTGTGTTTTAGTATAATCACAGACTTGTACAATCATCACTAAAACACTAAGAACACTTAGAACACTTATCACTCCCAAAAGAAACTGCATGTCTATTAGAAGTTACTACCCATTTTGCTAAGTGGTAGAACTAACAAACAATTCTCTGTCTCTATAGATTTGTCTCTTCTGAGCATATGCTATAAATGGGAATCATGTACAGGTAACCTGTTGACTTTTGTGACTGCTTCTTTCAGTTAGCAAGTTTTCAAGATTTGTCTGTGTTGTAGAATAGATATATCTTATATGAAACGTTGTTTAAATCTTTTGCCAAATTTCAGTTTGGTTGATGCTTAAATATTCTGGCCCAAGAGTTCTTTAAATATTTTGGATACAGTCTTTTGTCAGAGATATATATTGTGTACAAGCTGGGCATTGGTGGCTCATGCCTGTGATCCTAGCTATTCAGAAGGCTGAGATCTGAGGATCACATTAGAAGCCTGCCTTGGCAGAAAAGTACCTGTGAGACTTTTATCTCCAATTAACCACTCAAAAACCAGAAATGGTGCTGTGGTTCAAAGTGGTAGAATGCTAGCCTTGAGCAAAAGAGTTCAGAGACAGCACCCAGGCTTTGAGTTCAAGCTCCATGACCAACAAAAGTAAAAAAACAAAACAAAAAAAAAAGCACCTAAAAATTTGTACAGATATTTTCTACCAATTGTTGGCTTGGCTGGTACCTAACTGGTACTAGTCTGGTACCTGACTGGTACCATGGTATGACTCATTATAAGCCTGTTCACAAAATGACTTTTCTGGAATTATTTCTTTGCCTAATAATTAAACCCCTCTAATAAGAAAAAGAAATGCTAAATATTTGTCATTGAAAAATTAATTTTGGCCGTGCTCTAGTAGCTTACGCCTATAATCCCAGCTACTCAGGAAGCTGAGACCTGGAGATCATGGTTCAAAGCCAGCTTGGGCAGGAAAAGTCCATCAAACTCTTATCTCTGGTAAACTACCTAAACAGCTGGAAGAGGAGCTCAAGTGGTAGAGTACTGGTCTTCAGCAGAAAAGCCCAGAACAGTGTCCATAGCCTGTTATTTCCCACTTATTTCCATACAAGGAAGTAAGGATCCTGGGTCTAAGTAATGTTATCTTGGCATCTTAATAAAAGTTAATAGAAGATGGGGACTTTCTGGGAACTCTAAAGATGATAGAGGACATTCTTCTGATTGCAGATGTATCATGAGTCGTTAAGCTAGCTCCAGGAAAGTCTTGCTTCCTCTAGATAATTGGGTCCTGATTGCCCCTGGTTATTCCCATGAATAATTTGCTCTGCCTATGTATGACACTTTTATTAGGTTTACTCTCTCACACTGGTTATGTGGTTTTTGCCTTTTTTAAAAGCTGTATGTAAGTGACATTGTAGGTCTTTGCAGGTCTTTAAGACAGGAATCCACCTTCAGTTGCTGGCTTTCTAATAAAGATTCCCAATTCAGCCTTTCAAAATGTGGATTCTCTGTATCTCACCAATTGAATTCCCATATAACACTAGTATGGATCCAATTGTTAATTAGAAATTACTAAATGTCATTCTAATGTCCTGATAGAATGCTCGTGGTAGACATTTGAGTATTTGTTGTTTTGTTTTCAGCATGGCTAGAACATAAAAGTCATTCCTTACCTATCATACATATTAATAATAAGAAATCTAAAAATGACCACACAGCATTTCCACAAAAGAGTCTATCTTCACCAAATGAAATACCAGATCTGCATGTTTCTGAAGAATGTGTTTCTGCTAAAAGACAAAAAAGAGAAGAAAACCTAAAGAATAATCAAGAACTAACTGGTAGAATAATCCAAAAGAAAGAAAAGGAAGATAACATTGAACCTGACTGTTCAGTACCATCTATTGAATCATCTCCAGCTTCAAAAATTAAGAAAACATCTGTTGAACATGATCAAAAACAGGAGAATGATTTGGACCTTTTAAGCAACTTTGTTGTACCACCTACTGAATCATCTTCATCTTCAAAAATTAAGAAAACATCTGTTGAACATAATCAAAAACAGGAGAATGATTTGGACCTTTTAAGCAACTTTGTTGTACCACCTACTGAATCATCTTCCTCTTCAAAAATTAAGAAAACATCTTTTGAGCATGATAAAACACAAGAGGATGATTTGGACCTTTTGAGCAGCGTTGTTGTACCACCTACTGAATCATATTCCTCTTCAAAAATTAAGAAAACATCTTTTGAGCTTGATAAAACACAGAATGATCTGGACCTTTCAAACAACTTTATTGTACCACCTACTGAATCTTCTTCCACTTCAAAAAGTATGAAAACATCTTTTGAACACAATAAAAAACAGGAGAATGATTTGGACCTTTTGAACAACTTTATTGTACCACCTACTGAATCATCTTCCTCTTCAAAAATTAAGAAAACATCTTTTGAACATGATAAAAAACAGGAGAATGATTTGGACCTTTTGAGCAACTTTATTATGCTGCGAAATAAATATAATACTTGCACCTCAAAGACTGAAGACACAGACTATGACAAAAAAGATGGTAGGTAACTTAGTAATATTTTGACATATGTGTACTAGATTCAAAAATGTGTGAATAAATTATAAAAGGCAAAGAACAAAAGCTCTTTAAAATAAAAATAGTCAAAATGCCAGTGATTCATAATACTCAAGATGGATATGAATATGTAAATACAGAAATATATATATATTTTTAAATTTAAAACTACGTTTTCACTTGTAACAAAAGTCACTGTTTATACAACACTTTCTATAACTTCATCATATGAATTTCATGAATTAATAGTCTTTGCGTGTGTGGGTACGCACATGTGCTCTCATGTGTGGGCACATACATGCACTACCTGAGTTTTGAACTCAAAGACGCTCTATACTGGTGTTCTACCACTTGAGCCATGCCTCTGTCACTGCTTTTTTCTGTTTATTTTGGAGATGGACTCCCACAATCTTCTGACTAGTCTAGTTTCAAACTGCAGTCCTCAGTTTTTCAGCCTCTTGAGTAGCTAGGATTACAAGTATAAGCCGCTGGTGTCCAGCTGAATTCATAGTTATTTCTAACTGTTGTTGCTCATTCTGCCAGTCTTTTTTTTCTCTAGTAGGTAAAAAAAAAAAACCCTATCTTAGTATTTTAAATTATATTTTAATGTGTATTTAAGGACTTTCTTTGCCCATTTAATTGCTTACTGCTCATTCTAGTATTCCCAAAAAATTTTCTGTTTGAGTTGTAAATATCTTAAATTTGTAGCTTCTAACCATATCAAGTAGCGTAGTAGCTAGGCATTGGTGGCTCACGTCTATAATCTTAGCTACTGAAGATGCTGAGATCTAGAGGATCATGCTGAAAGTCAGATCTGGCACAAAAGAAAAGTCTATGAGACCCCCATCTCCAAAATAACCACCAAAAAGCCAGGGCTCAAATATACAGCATCAGCTAAGAAGCAAGATGAGCAGGCAGGTCGCTGAATTCAAATCTCAGTGTAGAAAAAATGGTGTATTAAATCATGCTAATTCTGGTTTGAAAAAGAAAGTAGGCATTTTAGGATAATCTTGACATACATTTCTCTGATCAAATTAACTAAAAAATATTTATGTGACTTAGAACACAGGTCTTACTTTTCTAAGTACTATTTATAGATACATCAATGTCATAAAAGTTTCATATAAGGCTGGGAAGGTGGCTTAGTGGTAGAGTGCTTGCCTTGCATGCATGAGACCCTGGGTTTGATTTCTCAGCACCACATAAGCAAAAAGAAAAAAAGCTGGAAGTCACACTGCGGCTCAAGTGGTAGAGCTCTAGCCTTGAGCTGAAAAGCTGAGGGACAGCGCCCAGGCCCAGAGTTCAGGCCCCACGACCAGACCCCCCTCCCCCCTAAAAAAAGTTTCATATATTTTACAAAAAGATGTGACAAAGTTTTATAGTTCTACTTAAAACAAATTATTTTGCTAGTGCGTTTTTCTACAATGAAAAATGTGGTGAAAGTATAAAATAGCATTTAAAGATTTCAGAATTGCTTTATCCTTTGTATGTATGTGTGAATACATATATATATTTATATATATGTACACACAAACATATATATATATATATAAAGTTTCTTAAAACCCTACAACTTGGTGACAGTTTTCTATATAGTAAGGTCATTCTGACCAATATTTGCCCCAGATATCAAGTATAATTTCTGCATAGAAGAATGTCAAACTACTAAGAAGAATTATCTTAGAAATATGATTTTCAGGGCTGGGAATGTGGCTTAGTGGTAGAGTACCTACCTAGCATGCATGAAGCCCTGAGTTCAATTCCTCAGTACCACATACATAGAAAAAACCAGAAGTGGCGCTGTGGTTCAAGTGGTAGAGTGCTAGCCTTGAGGAAAAGAAGCTCAGGGACAGTGCCCAGGCCCTAAGTTCAAGCCGCAGGACTGGCAAAAAAAAAAAAAAAAAAAAGACAATTTTGAGATATACTAATGTTTACAGATTTTTATCATATTTTGTTCAAAAAATAATCCACTCCAAAATTAACACTGCCCTCCCTTTTTAGTTGCCATAGTTGTGATACAACTATGATATAGCATGTATCGCCAGTTATATGAGCAACATTAAATGAGGAAAAACATCAGGAAAGGGCAAAAAGATTAAAAGTATTTTTGTTTATAAAAAGAAAAAAGGAAGAAAGAAGGAAAGAAGGAAGGATTAATTTACTGACTGAAGGAATGTTAGTAGAAATGCTTCTATATTCCTTACATTTCCTTAATTAGTATTATGTTCAGGTCCTCTTTGCTCCTTCATATAGTTTCCACAGAGGAGAAGAAACAATTATCTAAATTGGGAGTATGTTTAAAAAGTAGCTCAGGCATGATGGATTATGCCTGTAATGAGGCAATGATCAGGAGGATCATGGATTAAACCCAGCCTGAATGAAAATTTAGTGAAAGCCTCATTTCAACCAATAAGCCCAGGTATGCTGGTGTGAGCCTGACATCCAAGCTACACAAGATATGTAAGTAGGAGGATCACAGTCCAAGCTAATCTGAGGGAAAATGTGAAACTGTCTGAAAAATAACTAAAGCAAAAAGGGCTGAGGATGTGATTCCAATAGTCAAGTGATAGAGGCCTGTCCAGCAAGCATGAAGCATGAGGGTTCTGTGTTTTGAGAAAGAGCGGGGGGGGGGGGGGGGGGGGGGGGGGAAGGAAAGGGAAAGAGAGGAAAAAGAGAAAAGGAAGAGGAGGAAGAAAAGGACAAGAAACAAGAGGAGGAGGAAGGGAGGAGAGATTGAGTATAAGCTTATAGGACTGAACTTTCCTGAAGGAAAGAGTATTCTTTTCCCAACAGGGAACATTCTCCAGACCATTATACCCTAGGATTAAATAAATAACTGCTTAATTCTGGTCTTAGTTAGCAAGCCTATTTGACTGTCTCCTCCAATTTGGCACTTACTAATAATAAAAGTCACATTTTATTTCTTGTCTTATTGGAAAGTTGATTCAGGGGCAAAAAAATGCTATAATTTACTAAGCCCCTTACAAATCTCAGGGAAGAATTATTACTTGACTATATGTAAATTATTTATAATTAGTTGACAATATTTCTTGAAAATAATAACATAATTAATCTAGTTTAAAATAGACTATAGTTGCACTTTTAAGGGCACTTTATTCTGTGTAGCCCTGCCTGCCTTGAACTCTTGATCTTCCTGACTCAATTTTCTGAATGCAAGGCTTACAAGCATATACCACCATGCCTGGCTCCATTATGATACTTCTAAAAATGTATTTAAATCTTATGTGTTAAAATATCTTAAGATGGCCATGCACATCTGAAATTATCTTGTCATTGTACTGTTAATGGAAGGCATTACAGTTCATTCAGTATACATTCATTTATATCTATCTATCTATCTATCTATCTATCTATCTATCTATCTATCTATCTATCTATCTATCTATCTATCTATCTATCTATCTGAATCCTCTGTAATGCCTATAAAAGAAGAAAGAAAACTAACACTTATTGATCACCCTGTCCCAGGCTTTAAAAAGGGTATAATAGAGATAATATGATGCTGTTGCTTGACCTTGAGAAGCTGACAGTATAATAGAGTAGGGCAGAAAAACAGTGATAACTTCAGTACTTTGCACACAGGACTGAGGAAGTAAATGGGAGGGCACTGCCTGGCCTAGCAGGTAGCAGTTACGTAGACTTCAGATAGAAGCTGCCTGAGCTAAACTGTGAAAAATAAAATTTGGCCTAACTGAGAAAAGATGGAGACAGGCAGGGAAGGCTTGGAGCAGAAGAGAGGGCTGGGACAAAAGGAAAGGTATGGGGGAAGCCACAGAGACAAGAAGTAGATTGGTATGTGCTTTAAGGTGTCACGAACTGGACTTGGTATCTTATCCTTGAAACAATAGTTAAAGTAGACAGTTATCCATATTTTACAGATTAGGAAAATGAAGCTAAATTGAAATCCTGATGTGATGCCAGTCTTTCCATTTTTATCATTTACCTTCTACTCAGTAGTGTTAGGTACATTAATCTGGATTATTTGTTCAATTTAATACCGGTGTATTCCCCTGAAGATATCCAACAACTTAAATTGTATTTTAGAAGAAATCATTATAGTAACATTGCATTTAATGTTTTTGCCAGAATTTCAACATAAAGAAGAATGTTCTTTGATGCTTCAAAAACAAAGTCCTATTGTTTCTACTAACAAAACTCTCAAGAACATAAATGAAGAAACAGTAGCAGATAATGTCATTGAAATTCAAGCCTCAGGTATGCAACATGCTTTTAAAATGCATTCACATTTACTTAATTCAAAAGTTCTATCTTGCATATCCTATTTTCTGTGTAATTTTCTTTCTTTCTTTCTTTCTTTTTTTTTTGTCGGTCATGGGCTTGAACTCTGTGCTTGGGCACTGTCCCTGAGCTCTTCAGCTCAAGGCGAGTGCTCTACCGCTTGAGCCACAGCGCCACTTCTGGTTTTCGAGTGGTTTATTGGAGATAAGAGTCTCACAGACTTTCCTGCCCGGGCTGGTTTTGAACTGTGATCCTCAGATCTCAGCCTCCTGAGTAGCTAGGATTACAGGGGTGAGCCACCGGCGCCCAGCTCTGTGTAATTTTCTGAACTTCATTCCACTTCTAATTTCAAATTATTTCCAGACCTGGAATGCCCTATACACTCTCTTAGACATTTCTTATTGCTGTCTTCTAATACACTGATTGTTATTTATTTTTTTCATTAAAATTACTTTTAAGGACCTACATTCATCAGAAAAACTACAACTCTTCAGACTCTTCTTTCTTGTGTAGAAAATGAACTACTCTTCCCCTTAATCAGGGTGACCTAAATAAGTTACTACTCATTCTTTTTTTCTTTTTTCTTTTTTTTCCTCTTTTTTTCTTTTCTTTCCTTCTTTCTTTCTTTTTTTTTTTGTCGGTCGTGGGACCTAAATTCTAGGCCTGGGTGATGTCCCTCAACTCTTCAGCTCTAGGCTAGCACTCTACTAATTGAGCCACAGCGCCACTTCAGGATTTTTCTGCTTATGTGGTGCTGAGGAATGGAGCCCAGGGCCTCCTGCATGCAAGGCAAGCTTTACCACTGAGCCACTTTCTGAAGCAGCCTTTACTACTCATTCTTACATTAAATTTTTGTTCTACTGTAAAAAAGAATCCTTTTTTGACTCCTAAATCAGAGCATATCATGCTCATTAATAAAGTCAGCAAAGAAATGTGAGTAGTTCTCAAATATCTTTTCACGCTTTTATTTATGGTCTCTACATGACTATGGAAATCTTTAATATCATTAGTTGAAAACTAGAAGCAATTTCTCATCATTAGAAGTTGAGTTTTAAGTTTGTAAACTAATGGAAGAGGGAAAAGAAACTACTGTGTGATTATCTTCATAAGGCCCTTTGTATTTACCATATTAAATTAGTTACTGAGCAAAACTTTTTGAATAAATAAAATAACCAAATTCTCAATGAGAATTTTTGTTTGTTTTTACTAGTCCTATAGTAAGTATCCTGAAATAAGTCTTTTCTTCTATTTTAGTTCATAAAATAGTTGGAATAAAAGTCTTAAGTTTTCACAAAATAGCATGTTTAATTGATTTATCAAAAGACCATGCCATCCTTATTTATAAAATATATTGATTTTGACTCATATTTTTACAGATACTCAGTGCCAAGCCTTCTATCTCTTAGAATCAGCAGCTGCCCCCATCTTAAAAAAACTTGTGTCCCTTTGTCCTTTTCCTGCTGCTAATTGGAAATTTGCCACTGTTCTTTTTGACCAAACAAGGTTCTTCTTAAAAGAACAAGAAAAAGTGATAAGTGATAACATCCCTCAAGGTGAGTACAAATCAAATTTGGAGTTCTTAAAATAATATAAGTGTATGGATTATTGTATCAAATATAAAAATTTAAAATAGACTATGCATAAATGACATGTAGAGGAACACTTAGCTGTAATTTAGCTTATAATACCCATTCCCAGAGACTAGAAGACCAATTAAGTAAGGAAAAAAGATGGCCATCTGGCATTGCTTCTCAGTAAAGATTCTAATTGGCATATATTAATTGATAAAGAGAAACTATTATTGTTAATATCTGAGCCAGTTGGTTTCCTTCGAATTCAAACCTGGTACTGGAAAAAAAATAAAAATAGACAGGGTTTAGGCATTTGCATAACAGTCATTAATTATTATTGTCATTGCTGACCTTAACATTCTGAACTGGAATAGGAGAGATTGGAAAAAGATACTAAAACAAAGCAAACAAGGACATTTTCCTACCCTCTCTTTTACATAGGAGACCCCTTTCCCTCTTCTCTGACCATGGATTAATACTTCTCTTAGACTTCTTTCTGTTTCCACAGTAGTATACACATTTCAGGGGTTTGGATTACCTATAGTCCAGGTCAAGAAATGCTAAGAGGGAGAAAAGTAGGAAACTCAGGAGTTATTTGATGGCACTCTAAAATCTCATCTCATTCCCAAGCCAATCTACTATTATTTTTGAGTCATCAGATGCTGTCCCATGTATTCTACCTTGTGTTTATAATTGTATTCAGTGGAAGAAATAAGGTATAGTGTGTCCCTGCTACTTATTACCTTAAACTTACTTGATTTCTTTTAAAAGTCAGTTTTCTAAATTCATTAAACTTTGGTTAGACATAGTGGTTCTGAACCATTACTCTGAAGGCATGGTTCAGGAGGATCATGACCTGAGCCAGACTCAGGATATGAAAGCAAGAGTCTATCTGGAAAAATAAATAAAGCAGAAAAGGAATGGGAGTGTGTATCAAGTAGTAAAGGCAAGCCTAGCAAGCATGAAGCTCTAAGTACTACCAAAAATTAAATTAATACATTAAATTTAGATGTGTTACACATTTATTTTTGTCAGTCACGGGTCTTAAACTCTGGGTCTGAGCGCTGTCTCTCAGCCCTTCACCTCAAGGCTAGCGCTCTACTACTTGAGCTACAACACTGTTTTCTGGCTGTTTATTGGAGATAAGAGTTTCACGGACTTTCCTGCATGGGCTGGCTTTGAACTTTGATCCTCAGATCTCAGCCTCCTGAGTAGCTAGGATTACAGCGTGAGCCACCAGTGTCCAGCTTAGGTGTGTTACATATTTTTAAAAGAGAGTCCAGGGATACCGAGGCAGCTTAAAAAAAAGAATTAAACACAACATAAAAGACTGTAAGCAAATCAGGTAAGATAAATAGATAAATAGGTAGATTTTCAAATAGAGTACCCAGTAGTTTTTTTGGGGTGGGAAACATGTTAGATTCCAAATCCTTTAGGTTATATTGATATTACTGAGGTAAATTCATTATATGATAAGAGAGTTTTAACTCATGGTTTACCTCTTAAAATATCAGCGATCCACAGGAAGAGTATAGCAGCATAAACACTAATTAAAGAATCAAGATCTACACTTTGGAGAGCTGGCATTGTGATAATGATTATGTTAGATAGAAAGGAATACAGTAATTGTCCACACAGAAATGTTTATGAAAGATGACAAGATTTCCACAGAAAAACATTTGCTTTGCTTTTTTATTATTAATTTATTGTTATTATAGAGGTGATGTACAGCGAGATTAAAATTAACTGAGTTATGTAATGAGTACATTTTCTTTTCTACATTGTCTTCTGTTCCCTCATTTTCTCCCAGTCCCTCCCTTCCATCCCCACCCATGTGTTGTACAGTTCACTTTCATCAGTGTCCAGTGAGTGGCACTTTTTCCTCCAGTTCTATACCCTCCTCCCAACTCTCCTGAAGATATTCACTTGAATGTACCATACATAAGGAAGAACACACATAAAGAAGACAGAATCATCAAAAAATTAAAAATTAAAAAATTAAAAACAGGTCTTGTTTCCATATCTTGGGAGTTCATTTTGATATGCATATTATTTTATGTAAATAGGAAGAGGCACTTGGGCATTGTGCCTTTGTGTTTCTGTCCTAAGAATATTCTCTTTTGGTCTCATTGTGTGTGAATATCTAGAATCCTGCATAATTTATCATAGTCCAGTGTATTTTAGATCTAATTTCTGCATATAAGTGAGAATATGTGCTGTTTGCCTCTCTGAGCTTAGTTAACATGATTTGTTCTAGTTCTGTCAATTTCTCTGCAAATGATAGTACTTTATTCTTTGTAACTGCTGTATATAGGCACCATATTTTTTTATCTACTCATCTATTGTGGGGCATCTGGGCTGTTTCCATATCTTGGCTATTGTTAATAATGTGGCAGTGAACATGGATGTGCAGGTGTCTTTATCATATGATAGCTTATGATGTTCAGGGTAAATGTTCAGGAGTGGTATGGCTGGGCCATAGGGAAAGGAAAGTCTATGTTCCAGATTGCTGTCTAGAATAGTTGTACTGGTTTATATTCCCACCAAGTGTGCAGTAGGGTTTCTTTATCCCTACGTTCCCCCTCCCCCAACATTTGTTGTTTGAATTCACAATGTTGGCCAATCTAACTGGGGTGAGATGGAATCTCAAGAGTCGTTTTAATTTGCATTTCCTTTTTAGCCAGGGATGATAAGCATTTCTTCATGCAATTCTTACTTCTTCTGAGGAGGCTCTTCTTAGCTCCCTTACCCTTTTAATGATTGGTTTATTAGGTTTGAGAGGAGTTAATTTCTTGAGCTCCTTATATATATTGGATATTAGGCCTCTGTCTGATAGATTGCTCGTAAAGATCTTCTCCCAGTCTGTTTGTAGTTGTTCTAGTTTAGTAACTTTGTCCTTAGCTGTGCAGAAGATTTTTATTTTTTTGTAGTCCCACTTGTCAAGTCTCTTTTGCTTGTCATGGAAGTTTTTTGTTTCACCATAAATTGTGAATGACAGCTTGACTGAGTATATCAGTTTAGGTTGGCAGTTGTTGATTTTCAGTACTTGAATTATACCATTCCAGGCTCTCCTTGCATTGAGCATTTGTGTGGAGAGATCTGCAGTGAGTCTGATCTTTCCGTTTTAATATAGCTCCTTGTTTGATTTTGATGCATTTAAAATTAATTCCTTGTTTCTTAAGTCCAGAGTTTCCACTACGATGTGTCTAGAAGTATTTCTTCTTGGATCTGGCCTACTAGATGTCCTGTATGCCTCTGTGAGGTAGATTAGATTTTCTTTTAAGATTGGGGAAGTTTTCTGTTATTATTTTGTTGAATAAGTTTTCAATGCCTTTAGTTTTAAATTCTTCCTCCTCATCTATCCCAACTACACATAAATTTGATCTCTTGGTTGAATCTGCCAATTCTTGGATTTCCTTTTGGTATGTTCTGAGTGTTTTTTTCAATGCCTTTGATTTTTTTTATTCTAATTCTTCTATTTCATCTTCAACTCCTGATACCCTATTTTCTATTTCATTTATTCCATTAGTTATGCTTTCAACTGTTTTGCAATAGGGAAATTGAACCTTTTATGCTTCCAAGTTCTTTGTTGAAGTCAGTTCTCAAGGTATTAATTTTGTCTTTTAATGAGAAGTATAGAGTTTCTATTTTTCTCTCCATATCTTTTTGAGTGACCTGTATATTCTTTGTCATTTCCTCCTTGCATTCTTCTATTTGTTTTTGGGTATCCTCTTTTATTTATTTGGCCAATTCTCTCATCATTACCTTAATAGTTCTTTTGACCGTCATCTCTTCATCACTATCACTAGGGTCCTTACCTGGATTGTCATTGGGTTTTGGATTTGATTTGTTGTCTTGATTGTTCATGAATTTTGTAATCTTCCTTTGTGATTTATGTATTGGGGTTCAGAGATCATCAGGGGTTCATGTCAGGGTGAAGTGTGGTGGTGAAGTATGCTTCACTGGATGGATCTCTGCCAGACTGTTTGGCAACCTTCAGCTCTAGGTGGTGCATGCTGTAATGTATCTAGTCTGTGGTTAGGGTTCTGTGGTACGCAGGGTTGTCTGGTATTCTTGCCTAGGTTTAGGCCCAGTGTCAGGTTCCTGTTATGTGGTGCTCAGCAGTCTATTGTCCTGGACTGGTTCTGCGTCTGGGGTAGGCCAATTCATGCTAGTCATAGTGGGGAGGTCATCTGGCCAGAGTTCTGGACTAGCATCTAATTCCAGAGGGGCCAGGAGTAGTGGTCCAACACCTGGACCTTTTTTGAATCTGGGAGGGTGGGGGGAAGGTGGGTTGCCACTATGCTTTAACAAGGATAAATGTCCCCACCTAAGTCCTAAATCGGGCTAGGTGTGGTACTTGGAAGGGCTGGCTCTCACAGAGCAGTGCTGGAGATTGATCCTCCCTCAGATCTCAGACTGGCACCCTCTCCAGTCCAGGACTGGTGTCTACTTCCCACTGGTGAGGGGCTGCATCCAGGTCTCTGGGCCAAGCAAAAGTCTTGGTGGAGGCAGGACAGGAAAATTGTCCCTAGTATATAGTCCCAGACTGGTGGTGGTTTGATTTTTTTTTTTTTTGTGCCAGTTCTGAGGCTTGAACTCAGTGCCTAGGCATTGTCCCTGAGCTTCTTTTTGCTCAAGGCTAGCACTCTACACTTGAGCCACAGCTCCACTTCCGGCTTTTTTTGTGTATGTGGTACTGAGGCATTGAACCCAGGGCTTCATGCATGCTGGTCAAGCACTCTACCACTAAGCCACATTCCCAGCCTTGTTTTGCATTTGGAGACAAGGTCTCTTTATGTAGCGTAGGCTGACCTTGAATTCAAGATCTTTCTACCTCCATCACCCAAGTGCTGGGATTACAGTGTGACAACTATGCCTTGTTTACTTCCACAAAAAACTTTAAAGAAAACAAATGTAAATTCAGAGTATAGTTTTTGTATGTCTGGTACTAGAGATTGAACTCTGAGCCTCATGATTACTTGACAAGTACTCTGCTACTTGAGCTATACCCTAAAACTCTGAATACAGCTTTGAGTCCTATAATTCTCAAGTTTTAAATTAGATTAGCATGAATTGTTTCAAACACCCTTAAGCATCATTGAGCAGAGTGATAATTGTAATAAAATATGTGGGCATAAGTATTTATGAAGTACAATGGAGGAAAAGATAGGAACATGGATTTGGTTGTGCAGATGGAGTGCTTATTGCCTTAATCTTGAGCAAGTGATATAGTTGCTTCCATTGGTCCCCAAATTGAGCTAAAGTTAAATCTCTTATAACAAACCTAGAAGAAGCCAGACACCATTTCCCACTAGTTATCTAATTTGTACTCCATTTTCCAGGCAATTTTTATACTTCCAACTCACCAAATAAAGGTTTTTTACCTATGTCCACCCCTTCCAGGCTATGATTGACTTGCACTTCTTTTTTTTTGGCCAGTCATGGGGGCCTGAACTCTGGGTCTGGGTGCTGTCCCTCAGCTCTTCAGCTCAAGGCTAGCGCTCTACCACTTCAGCCACAGTGTCACTTCCGGCTTTTTCTGCCTATGTGGTGCTGAGGAATCGAACCCAGGGCCTCATGCATGCAAGGCAAGACTCTACCACTGAGCCACCTTCCCAGCCCCTTGACTTGTACTTCTAAGGGCTGATATACTACCTATTATTGCCATTCCCTTTCCTTCTCAATTCCCAGTCACTACTACATATTTCCCTTTGATCTTAATTGATTAGAAGAACAATTTGGAAAATGTTTTAGCAGGATGGTTTGCAAGCAAGTATTTAATGAGATCTCAATGTATTAAACAGAAAGTAGAGCTGCTCTGGTTCATTGGGGCAAATAGAATTCTGTCTTTTGGTTGTACTTTTATATGAAGAAGAGACCAGTCATCTTCAAAAAGCTATAGTGATCTGGATACTGGGGGCTCATGCCTGTAATCTTAGCTACTAAGGAGGCTAAGATCTGAGAACTGCAGTTTGAAACCAGCATGGGCAGGAAAGTCTATGAGACTTTCATCTCTAATTAATCATCAAAAAGCCAGAAGTGGAGCTGTGACTCAAGTGGTAGAGTACCAGACTTGAGCAGAAAAGAATAAGGGACAGTGCCCAGGCCCTGAGTTCAAGCCCCAGGACTGGCACAAAAATTGTATATGTATATATGTACCTGTATGTATATGTAGATATGTGTATACATATAGAGTATATTTACATGTATGTATATATACATATATATGGAACTATATGAACACATTAGTTAGGCGTAATTGGCTTGTTTATATAAATATTTCTTTTGTTCATATCTTTGAACAAATTATTCCTAATGTCCTCCATGTTAGGATCCTCCACCTTTGTCTGACCCAATTGGCGTTATGAATTTAATTTTCTTCTTATTTTATAGCTAGGAAATCATTTTTCTGTTTTTGCAACAATAATAGAAATAATTCAACATTCCTTGAAGCAACAAGAGGATGAATTGAAAGGCTAGCTGACTTGGTTCAAGTGCCAGACCCACCATTTATTTCCTAACTGACCAAGGATAGTTACTTAACCTAAGACAGTTTCCTTATCCATAAAATAAGGAAATAAACCTCCCTAATAGGATGGTTGCTATGTATTCAACAAGATAACCAGCTTATATATATTCTGGCATATAATAAGCCCCCAGAAATAAATGCTAGATATTATTAAGCAGATTCTTATAGGTACTTTAAAGTTCTGATATGTTTTACAATATGTTTTTGTTTCTATAGGTACAAATTACGAAAGAGAAATTATATACAAGCATGCTGCTGTCCTACACCTTCTGGTGACAATTAGAGATGTCCTTTTAACATGCAACTTGGACACAGCATTGGGTAGGTACAGGAAATTTTATTTCTATATTTCATCTGAAATAACTTCTGAAAAAGACACACCTATTAAGAAATTATATAGACTTCTTTTACTTCTACCTACTGAACATATGCACATTTTGACATAATTATTAGTGGAATTCATTTGTTTCAATGCTGGAGATTGAACCTAGGGCTTCTTGCATGTTAGACAAATATTCTACCACTGAGCCATTCCTCCAGCATAAACTCTGTGTATGTGTACATATTTGATTGTGATCATTAAAAGAAATTGTCCTTAACTAGTTTAGGATTCTCTAATATGGTTCTGAATTATAGATTCTTAACAGCCTTACACAGATTTGCTTGTATGGTCATTATCATGCTGTATGTAAGATTTGCTTTAATGATGTTAAGTGAAATGACCCCAAGATATGGACACAGAGGTCTCTCTTTGTTGTTATTGTTTTAAATGTATTATGTGATTTTTTTGTTTCCTTTATATATTCTTTCCCCTATGGTATATTCCCCTGTATCATTGTACTTGAATTTGGTACCCTGCATCTTGTATATACATTTGTCTATTCTAGAAAGGGGAAGGGGAATAACAAAACGCTGAAACAAAGACCGGATTACCCATTGCAACAATGATTACCCACAGGATAGTATATTGAAAATGAGCTTTACATCTTTGAGCAGGGAGTGAGTGTAGGGAGGAGTGTGGGAGGCTGTGGTGGGGGTGGGGGAGGGAAAGGATAGTGGGACAGCAACAAGAGAAGGGGTAACAATCATGAACAAGTAATGCACTCATTGCCTTATGTAACTGTAACCCCTATGAACAGCATCTTTCCAATAAAATAAAATTTTAAAAAAAGATTTGCTTTAATATAAGAGTTGCCATCTTGCCATGTACATTTTAGGTCTTCATTGGATGTTTATAGCTTTAAGCATTTTCTAGATAAAATATAACTAAATTATAGATGTGGTGCTGTACACCATAATCCCAGATAATCAGGAGGCAGAGATCAAGTCCATTGTAGTTCAAAGCTAGCTATTTCAACTGGTAACTGCACATGGGACCCAAATATCATCCCAGCTATGCAGGAAGCATAAATAGAAGCAATCCAAGTCAGCTTCAGGATTTTCTTTGAAGATCCTATCACAAAAATAACTAGAACAAAAAATGTTTGGAGGAATGGCTTATGTGGTAAAGTGCCTGCCTTACCAGGGCACGGGACTGAGCTCAACTCCCAGAACTACCTAGGGGGGAAAAATAGCTGAGTCCAGTAGCTCACTGTAATCCTAGCTACTCAGAAGACCTCTGAGGATTGTGGTTCAAAACCAGCCCAGGTAGGAAAGTCTATGAAACTTTCATATTCAATTAACTACCAAGAAACCAGAAGTGGAGTTCTAGCTCAAGTAGTAGAGCATTAGTCTCAGGCAAAAAAGCTCAGGGACAGAATTCCACCCCTAGTACTAGCACAAAAATAAAACAAAACAAAAACCATCAGGGGTATATTGGAAATGTTCATTCCAAAATCATTGAAGTATTACAGCTTTAGCTTCCTTACTGCTGGATTTCTTAGGTTTGTTTAGTAATGACATACCTATGTGATCATGTTTTATAACTTAAAAGTTTCTAGAACCTACTTCCAACATAATTATTAATTTTTGCGGGGGGGGGGGTCTGGTCATGGGCCTGAACTCTGGGCCTGGATGCTGTCCCTCAGCTCTTCAGCTCAAGGCTAGCACTCTACCACTTGAGCCACAGCACCACTTCCGGCTTTTTTCTTTTTGCTTATGTGGTGCTGAGGAATCGAACCCAGGGCCTCATGCATGCAAGGCAAGTGCTCTACCACTGAGCCACCTTCCCAGCCCAATTATTAATTTTTTTACATGGATTTAGTCATGTTCTCTTATCTATGACCTATATGTAAATATTATTGCCCTATTGTAAGGTTTTGATAAGCACTGAGCTGAAATAAGTCACAATTATACTCCCTCTATAGCACTGGAAACTAAGCCTAGATTTCTATATTCTGCTTTAAAATTATGCATTAATAAACGAGCTGTTTGTAGAATCTATACTTTTAGAGAAGCTGAGAATTATAATGAAGACATCATACATTTTGCTTATTCTAGGTATATTAACTAGGGCTATAGCTCCCATCCTTTGTGTGGGGATAGAGCCAATACAGCCTATTCTAGTCTCAACACTCTTCTGGTTTAATCAAAGAAGAAAGAAAAACACCCTGTTGGGTTCTCTAAAGGTTGTTTTAATCTAGTTTTAATACCTGATCAGATATATAATCTGGCTAAATATAGTATGTTTAGTACTTGACAGAGAAATAATATTTATGGAATATTGTTTAAAACTTTCATTTAAATATTTTACAGTTTGTCCTAGGATTGAATACCACTGAAAGATACATACTTGGACCAAATTATTTTTGTTCTTCAAAGAAATGTATTTACCAAATCACACTTCGACATTTCTGTTTGGCTACCTTGATAGGTAGCATAAAAACAGCTGGGCATGGAAGTGGCGCTATAGCTCAAGTGGTAGAGCGCTTGCCTTGAGTTGAAGAGCTGAGGGACAACGCCCAGGCCCAGAGTTCAAGCCCCACGGCCGACAAAAAAAAAAAAAAAACAGCTGGGCACCAGTGGCTCACGCCTGTAATCCTAGCCACTCAGGAGGCTGAGATCGGAGGATCGTGGTTCAAAGCCAGCCCAGGCAGGAAAGTCTGTGAGACTCTTATCTCCAATTAACCACCAGAAAATGGGAAGTGGCACTGTAGCTCAAGTGGTAGAATGCTAGCCTTGAGCTGAAGAGCTGAGGGACAGCACCCAGGCCTAGAGTTCAAGCCCTACAACTAATATCCCCCCCTCCAAAAAAAAAAAAAGTAGGCTTTTTAGAAAACTAATTTCTTAAGCTATAGATACAAAACCATAATAGATCCTCCAGTTTGCTGAAACATTTCCTGTACCATGATCCTACTGTTTTACATTTCTCACTGTAACTGAGATTACAGTCATGGTCCACCATGACCAGCTTCTTCCATTGAGATGAAATCTTTTTTTTTTCCTTGTCCATCATAGAGCTTGAACTTGGTGCCTGGGCACTTTCCCTGAGCTTTTTCACTCAAGGCTAAACTCTACCACTCTGAGTCATAGTACCACTTCTGGTTTTCTGGTGGTTAGAGATAAGAGTGTCATGGACTTTACTGCCTGGGCTGGCTATGAACTGTGATCCTCAGATCTCTGCCTCCTGAGTAGCTAGGATTACAGGCATAAGCCACCAGTAACTGGCTGAGATGAAATCTTAACAAACTTTTATGCCTGGCTGGTCTAGAACCAGTCCTCCCATCTCTTAACCAGGAGGTTAAGATAGGACCAACTTAATAAACTCAGTTTAGTTACTATAGTTCTTTCTTTTTGAGTTTCTTTCTTTCATTCTTTCTTTTTTTTGCCAGTCCTGGGGTGAAATCAGGGCCTGGGCACTGCCCCTGAGCTTCTTTTGCTCAAGGCTAGTACTCTACCACTTGAGCCACAGTTCTACTTCCAACCTTTTCTGTTTATGTGGTACTGAGGAATCAAACCCAGGGCTTCATTCATGCTTGGCAAGCACTCTACCACTAAGCCACATTTACCAGCCCACTATACAGTTTCTTAAAGAACAAAAAGACAGAATTTTTTGTCATTTTTCTTTAACAGGATATTTGACAAATGCAAAAGATGTCTACCAAAACATTTTAGGCTCCTACTTGGATGATATTTGGAAACAGATGAAGATTGTACAATTTATCAAAGATAAAAAGCCTGAAGCAAACCATAAGTTACAAGAATTGCAAAATCAAATCCTAATGTGGATGAAAAGTGAACAACAAATTACTGTTAAGTATTAAAACCAAGTAGATAAAAGTAATGAGTTTAATATGACTTGGATGTAACATGAATTTTTTCCATTTAACTTTGAAACTGTTGAAATAGTCTATATTGTTTGGCCACTTGACAGTTTCTTCCAAAGTAAAGTAACATAACACTGAGAACTTTTTGTGGATTAACTTCCCCTTTTGTCAAAAGTTTTGTCTGAATCTGAACATGAGCACATATATACATGTATATGTGTGTTACATATATGTGTGTAAAATATGCTATATATGACCATGTATAATAATAGAACTATAGTAATTTTATTTTTATATATCAAACAAGAATCTCATCTGACATGTTTATGTTTTGGTTTAATTGGAAATTATTTACTCACCCTATATGAAGTTTATGAAAGTATCAATGAAGATTTAAAAATCGTTAAAAACTTATCAAGCAGAAAAACATTTCATTTAGTTTCACTAAATCTAGTAAATTTTATGTGGAATTTTTTTTTGTTGTCCTAGTTCTACCTTTATCTTTATCTTCAACTTCATATTTCTTGAATGACTTTCTTAAGTCACTAAAATAAATTAGTGAGAAATTTTCAATTGAAACTCATTTTCTGTGCCTGCTCCAGAGAAAGAAACTGTAATGGTAAATAACAAAATAGAGCAGCATATCATTGCTTTTTCTACAACAAATTCATACTTTTCTGGGTTTAAATTTAACAAGAGCAAAATAGGCATCAGGACAAATTATGTATTGGTAGTCATATATGTGGGAATACTTGAGAAATGTTAATACCCTATCCCAAAAATACTTTTGTTATTGACGTTTAATATTGCCAGGGCTTATTCTTCTGTGTATTTTGAACTCAGGCCTGATGCTGTTCCAAAATCTTTTGCTTAAAGCTACTGCTCTGCCACTTTGAGCCAGAGGTCATCACCAGAGCTCTGGTAGTCAAATGGAGATAAGAGTCTCGTGGACTTTCCTGCCCAAGCTGGCTTGGAACCAGCATCCTCAGATCTCAGCCTCCTGAGTAGTTGGATTATAGGCCTGAGCTACTAGTGCTTAAAGCACTGCTATTATTTACAACACAAATATTTACTTAGTAATTTGTTATTTGTTTTTTGGTTGTTATTCTTTTTCTTTTTCTTTCTTTCTTTCTCTTTTTTTTTTTTTGTCGGTCATGGGGCCTGAACTCTGGTCCTGCTGTCCCTCAGCTCTTCAGCTCAAGGCTAGAGCTCTACCACTTGAGTCACAGCGCCACTTCCGGCTTTTTCTGCTTATGTGGTGCTGAGGAATCAAACCCAGGGCCCCATGCATGCAAGGCAAGCACTCTACCACTGAGCCACCTTCCCAGCCCTGTTATTCTTTTTCTTTAAGACAATAAGGCTTTGCTACTATCCTCAGCTAGTTTCAAGCTCAAGGTCTTCCTCCCTCAGCCTCCTGAGTGTTCAAGGTTACAGGCTGCCACCCTCATTCATTCCATGTGGCTAGTGCAATTTGTTATTTTGTCAGTGTAATGAAACTGTGAAAAAGAATAATCACTCAGATACATATGAAATTGTTATTTTTATTAGGTGCTGATTATAATAAGAATGAACTCAGACAATGAAAAACATTTGCTCACTAAAATCCTTAACAAAATAGAAGGTAAAGACTTTTCAGTTATTCTTCATTGAACTTTGAAAAATGTATTGAATGAAAAAATGTTTGACCTAACCAGCTTTTGAAATTAACATGCTATAGAATTCATCCTTTTTAAGAATAAACAGCTGGGTGGGTGGGAGGGTATGGGGTGTCTAAGAAGTTGTCAAATCTGTCTAGACTATAAGACTACAATATACATATACTGTAATGTACTTATACATACCACTTGAGCCACAACTCCACTTCTGGCTTTTTGGTGGTTAATTGAAGGTGAGAGTCACAGACTTCCCTGGTCAGGATGGTTTGGAATACAGATCCTCAGCTTTTAGCCTCCTGAGTAGATAGGATTACAGGGGTGAGCCGCCAGCACCCAGCTGAGTTCTCTATTCTTAAATCAGTATGTGTACTAAACGAATAGCCAGAAAGTGTGGGTAAAGAATTTTTTGAAATTTATTATATTTTGATTAAGTAGTAAAATAGAAGTTGAATTATAATTAGGAAGCAGGAAGGAATCTAAGAAACAGATGGTGCCCAATAAATCTTTCACTTCTTATATAATGAAAAAGAAAAAAGTATTGTGTCACATTGAAATGCATTCCCTTGCACTTTTAATTATGTACTTAAATTTTGTCTAGAAAAAAAGATAAAAATTTCCTGTGATTAGAGAAGTAAGATTAACTGTACAGTTCATGAGTTTAAAATGTCTACTTCAGGAACTTGGCGACTCCAGTGCCAGTTGTGAGCAAAAAAGCTGAGTAAGAGCTTGAGGCCCTGAGTTCAAGCCCTATACCAACCCAAAAGAAAAAAAAAGGAAGAAAGATGTTTACTTTAAAATTATGTTTGAGACCAATTTATTTTACATAAGAAATTTAGATTTTTTTCTTTTTATGTATACAAACAACACTAGAAATATTGCTTATAGCACAAACTTTCTGATATACTGGACTTACAAAAATAATCCAGCAAATTGTATTTTAAGCAATTTCTTTGTTCACAGATCTTTAATTCATTTATATGGGCATGAAATACATGATACACTAAAAATAAGACTCTGAAAAAAGATCTTGTAAAAATTCTTTTTATCCCAACAGGCTTAACATTGACTGCTTTCCATTCAAATGGAGAAAAAGACTTTCTGGAATCTACAGCAGTTTTGAATGGGTAAAAATGTATTTCCTTGCTATGGAGAGGAAATGTACCTTTTCCACAGGAGAAAAAATTTTTTTATCCTAGTGTTTGGACTGGAGTTATTAGTTAGTGGTAGAGTGCTTGCCTAGTATGTGTGAGTCTTTGGATTTGATGCCTGAAATCTGAGAGGGGGATTGCTCCTAGAATTTAATGTGAGAAATTTAATAAAAGCTGAAAATAATTGGATGCTGGTGACTTACACCTCTAATCCTAGCTACACAAGAATTTGCCATCTAGATGATTATATTTCAAAGCCTCTGAGGCAGAAGAAAGTTTTTGAGTCTCAGTCTTCAAAACAAAGAAACAAACAAATTAATCAATGTCTTTCTTCCTTCTTCCTGAAAAATACCTTACATAGAACACTTTAACCACTACTTTGTGCATTACATAAATTGTACAGAAATTCAGTTCACTCTCATTTAATATCTTCAAATTATCATCATAATTTTAGTTAGAACAGAAGTATTTGTTTAAACTTTAACCTTCCAGCCAGGTGCTAGTGGCTCATGCCTATAATCCTAGCTACTCAGGAGGCTGAGATCTGAGGATCAAGGTTCAGTGCCAGCCTGAGCAGGAAAGTTGGTGAGATTCTTATTGCCAAGTAAGCATCAGAGAAGCTGATGTAGAGCTGTGACTCAAGTGGTAGAGCACTAGCCTTGAGCAAAATAGCTTAGGAACAGTGTCTAGGCCCTGAGTTCAAGTACACACACACACACACACACACACACACACACACACACACACACACACACACATCCCTACCTTTAACCTTCTTTTAACCAGTCTTTTATTTTTCTGTTGTTCAGGTTTTTATTGTTTTGCGGGGGTGGGGGGTTTGGTTTTTTTGCCTTGTTTTGTTTGGCTGGTACTGAGACTTGAACTCAGAGCCTTGCACTCCTGCTCAGCTTGCTTGCTTATGGCTGGCACTCTGTCATTTGCCAAACCCTCCAGACTGACTTTTTGTTGGTTAATGGGAGATGGAGTTGGGGACTTTGCTGTGCTGGCTGGCTTGTAATCGCAGTCCTCCAGGTTTCAGCTTTCTGAGCAGCTAGGTGTTAGCTTCTGTTTCCTGGCTCTCAGCATTGTTTTTTAACTTCTTGCTTTTTTTGGGAAATTATTTGATAGCACACTAATAATAAATCTAATGTTTAAAGTGTCTTTCTTTTGTCTTGTTTCATTTAGAAGTCATTCATTTCTAATAATGGGTTCAAATAAAATTTCATTTCTTGGCTTTCTTTGTTTTATATAGGAATTACTGTGTAATTGTAAATAATCAAAATATTGGAGCAGATTTTCCCTGGAGGAGTTTCTCATTTGTTGTGGAATACAATCATGCAGGACATTCATGTTGGAAGATGCATTGTGAAAAGTTGAACATTCCCTTTGTGGCCTTTAAAGTGATTCTTCCAGACACAGTCTTAGCCAGTAAGGAGACAATTCAAAATCCTGTTTTGTTCCATTAGAATAAAATTTTTCTACTTTGCATTTATCACCTATAGAAAGAAAATCCTTCCTTTATTCAGAGTACTTTTTATTATGCAATTGCTCGAACATGTACTATTATTATGTTTAGTAATATTTTTTTAAAAGAGAAAGGCCAGATGGTGGTCCAGAGAGTAAAGGGAGGAGAGGGAGGAGGGGAAACTGGAGTATTAAAAAATTTACAAAATAAAAAAGATGCTGGGCACCGGGGCTCACGCCTGCAATAGTAGCTACTCAGAAGACAGAGAATGGCCATTTGGAGCCAGCCAGGCAGGAAAATCCATGAGGCACTTATCTCAGAAGTGGTGCTGTGGCTCAAAAAGTGGTAGAGCTCTAGACTTGAGCAAAAGAAGTTCAGGGCTAGCACTCAGGCCCTGAGTTAAGCCCCACAACCAACAACAACAAAAAAAGGAAATATAAATTTTTTCTTATCTAGGAAGTACCGTGCTGGATAGATTTGGTGGTTTTATTTTGGGAATTCAGATTCCATATGTGTTTTTTGCAACTGAAGGACTTCTTAATACCCCAGAAATACTTCAACTGCTGGAATCTAAGTAAGTTATTTATTTTATAACTTTAGTAAATGTGTGCATATATTTATGTTGGCAGGGTATATTATCCTGTGTATGTAGCATTATATCTCTCTGCTTTCTATCTGGAATTATATCATGTGAAAATAGTTTTCCAGAGAATTTGTATTAATTTATACTTCTATGAGCTTATAAGAAGTAGTTAAAACATAGGCAAGAGCCTATAGATTTGGGTTATAGAAGTGAGCTTAGTATGTGTCAGGCCATAAGTTCAATCCTCAGTATCCTCCCCTCAGACCAGTTTAAGGAAAAAAATAAAAGAAAACTAAGATAAATGGGAAATGTTTTAGTCTTACAATGTTTTGATTTCATAAGTTATTTCTTAAGAGATAAAATAAATATCATGTTAATGGTAGAGCACTAGCCTTGGCACGAAGGCCACATACATCCAAACTTTTATACAGAATACTCATAATTTATTAAATTTTATAATAGAATAAATTAATATATTAAGAAAATACAGCAATTCAAATAATGTAATAAGCAGGACAGTAAAACAGACCTTGAAGAATTTGTTTTAGCCGTTTTATTTTTTTTTTTTCACCCAAGAATCCTGTATTTTACAGCTATAGTATCACACTAGTGGAGAGATGCTGCAGTGAGTCACTGAAACTCTTTGGAAGTACAGAGTATTATGTGGTAGTAACAATTGATGAACACACTGCTATAATTTTACAGGTAAATTTAGTTTTAAAATAGTACAGCTTTATACACAACTATGTAATTTATTAAGTAATTTATTCATTAAGTACTTTGTTAAAATTAATTGTGAAAAATGACTATTGCCAAACTTCTTTGATATCTTATAATTTTTAAGATTTTTTTTTTTTTGGTCAGTTGTGTGCTTGAACTCAGGGCCTGGGTGCTGACCCTGAGCCTCTTTGTGCTCAAGGCTAGTGCTCTACCACTGGAGCCACAGTGCTACTTCCCATTTTATGAGTGGTTAGAGATAAGAGTCTCATGGGGACTTTTCTTCTAGGGGCTGACTTCAAACCACAAACCTCAGATCTCAGCCTCCTAAGTAGCTAGGATTATAGGCATGAGCCACCAGTGCCCAGCAATACTGACCTATTTTTAAACACATTTGTAGAATAATTACATTCTAAGAAGCTTTAAAAAATAAAGCTTAATGGTAGAGCATTTGCCTAGCCAGTGCTAGGCAGTGATCCCCAGCACAACAACAACAACAAAAAGCCACTGTCTTTCTTACAACAGGGTTCTCTATTAATTAATGATTAGTAATCCATAAACTCTTCTGGGATTGGTTTTGTTTTTTTTTTTTTTTTTTTTTTTTGGGGTCCGGTTGTGGGGCCTGAACTCTGGGCCTGGGCGCTGTCCCTCAGCTCTTCAGCTCAAGGCTAGCGCTCTACCACTTGAGCCACAGCGCCACTTCTGGCTTTTTTCTTATGTGGTGCTGAGGAATTGAACCCAGGGCCTTGAGCATGCAAGGCAAGCGCTCTACCACTGAGCCACCTTCCCAGCCCCTGGGATTGGTTTTTAAAGAGAGATTCTCCTTAAAAAGCACATACCATTTGGAAATTAAGATATATAAATTCTTGGTCGAATCTCTCATATGATTGCCTGACTGGAGTAGCAATTGCAAATAATTTAATGTTGTTAATTAAAAGTGGGGAGTAGGAAATAAGTTTTATGGTATGGTAAGATTTGATGAGCAAAATTAACAATATGTGAATTATGATAAAGAGTTAGAGGTATGGCTAAAGTGCTAGACCATATACCTAGCAGTCACAAAGCCCTGAATTTGAATCCCAGTACTGCCAAAAAAAAAAAAAAAAAGAAGGTTGTCCTAAACCACTAGATAGAATTTTGTTTTATTTTGTAAGTCCTGGGGCTTGGACTCAGGGCCTGGGCAATGTCCCTGAGCTTCTTTCGCTCAAGGCTAGCACTCTTACCACTTGAGCCACAGCACCACTTCTGTTTTTTTCTGTTTATGTGATACTGAGGAATTGAACCCAGGGCTTCATGCATGCTAGGCAAGCACTCTACCACTAAACCACCTGCCCAGACCTCTAAATAGGTATTCTTGGGAAGTCCATTAATCACTGCTTTTTCATGTCCCTTGCATAAACACACAGTACTAGTTATTCCATGGGTTTGTGTGTGCTGGTCCTGGGACTCAAACTTAGGGCCTGGGTGCTATCCTTGAGCTTCTTTTGCTCAAGGTTAGCATTCTACCACTTGAGTTGCAGCTACACTTCTGGTTTCTTTTATGATTACTTAGAGATAAAGAATCTCTAAGACTTTTTTGTCTGGGCTGGCTTCCAACCATGATCCTCAGATCTCAGCCTCCTGAGTAGCTAGGATTACAGGTGTGAGCTGCTGGTTCATGGAATAGTTTTTAAACATTTTTATGGAGTAGTCAGACCCTAGTCCATAAAGAACACTGCCAAAATCGGGGCACTCTGTAGATAATACCTTCATCTCTGAAATCTTCCGAGACCCATGACTCTTTTCTTGTTGAAGTTGTCATCATATGTTTTATGTAGCTTTCCCCCCTACTACTTTCAGTGTGATTTTTAACTTTTCCATGAAATGTGAGTCCATAGCTACACTCTTCCTTGAGTCATTTTTAACATATCATTTTGAAAATGAAACATAGTAATAGTTTTATAACAATACTTAACAATTTTTTTCATTTTCTGTATTTTATGATAGGACCTAGAAGAACTGAATTATGAGAGAGCATCAGACAACATCATTATGAGGCTGATGGCATTATCATTCCAGTATAGTGATTGTTGGATCATAATATATATCAAGAGAACCTTAAATTCAGGGTAGGTTAGGTTTTTTAATCCAAGTCTTATTCATATTTCTTGTTATCAATTCACTTTTTGGGGGGAAAGGATATTCTTTTTTTAAATTTTATTAATTGTACAAAGGAGATTCATTGTGATTTTTACATGCATCCATGAATGTATTTGACCAAATTAATCTCTACTATGTTGCTTTGTCTTAACCCTTCCCCTCATTTAAAGTTTGTTTTCTTAATGTATTTCATTGTATTATTTTCATACTACCCCTTGTGGTGATTTTTGTCTCCAGGCACTGTGGCTAGATGGCCCAAGATATCCGGAGCTGCTGTTAATCCTTGTTTTAATGACCTGTAGTAGCTCAGTCTCAAAACAAGGCCCTCTCTCAAGATGGCACTTCATCACAGTTTTTTTAGATACGAGGAATGAAAGACTGTTTGATGCTTGCCTGTCATGTTTGGGGAGTTACTGTCCTAAATCCTGTACTGGATTTAATGCACTGGGAGGTACAGGCTTGTCCCACAGGTAAAGTCTGCCAGGCTGTTGCAAAGGCTGCCTAGTTGCCTTGCAGAGGCTTTGATTCCCTTCCCATTAATCTCCTCTGTCAGTGTTCTGTTTTACCCTGCTTTTCAGCTGTCCTTTCCCCCTTGAGTCTTGGTTGTTCTCTTCCAATCTTCCCAACACAATGTCCCCTTTTTCCCCCAGACTCTTCTTTCAGGATACCTCAGTTGTCTGCTTTGACATAGTTATGTGAATACTTTGCCTGTTCTTCTCGTTTATTTTAAATAGGGATTCTCAAGATGGTGGCACAATCATAGGAGATGACACAGGCTACTGTGGACATAATGTGCATATTGTCCCCTTCTCTCACCTTCAATGCTTTTAAGAATTACTGCCTTATTCATTTTATTTTAAATCATGACTCTAGCTCAATTTATCATTATGTTTCTCCTTTCCTTTACTATTAAACATGACGTATGATTTCTTCCTCCTTCTCTTTTATTCCCTGCCAGTTGGCTTTTCTCCCTAATTCTGTACTGATCTTTGTCTTTCAAAGGTCATTTGTAATTTTCTCATGATCTTCTCCAACAACACTTTTATCTTTCACTACTTTCAAGTATTTATCTCAATGGTCAGTGCTTTCTTTTTTGAAACTGTTCAGTTCCATGATTCTTTAGTGTTTTTGACTTTCTACATTCCTAACTACTTCTCTCTGCTTTTATTTCTTCTTTTTTCTAATTTCTAAATAATTTCGTTTTCTTCCTTCTTATTCTACTCATTGTACATCTAATCTATTCTTATTGCTTTAGTCATTATCTGTGTATATAATTATTACATTTAATTCTGCAGCTACAATATCTCTTTGAGATTTCCAACATGCATCTCTATTTTTTTTTGGAGAAGGAGTGGGTCGTGAGGCTTGAGCTCTGGGCCTGGGCACTCTCCCATAGCTCTTCAGCTCAAGGCAAGTGCTCTATCACTTGAGCCACAGTGCCGGTTTACTGGTGGCTAATTGGAGATAAGAGTCTCACAGACTTTCCTGCTGGGCTGGCTTTGAACCACGATCCTCAGATCTCAGCCTCCTGAGTAGCTAGGATTACAGGCATGAGCCACCAGAGCTCATGTTATTAAATATTATCAAACATTTTCACCTTGATATTCCAGAGTCTCAAACTTTACATAATCAAATATGACGTCGCCTAATTGTATCTCCACTTACTTGTCCCTTAGCTATTTTTGGCATTGCCTTTCTTTTCTAGAAAATAATTTATCTTTTGGATTCAACCACTGCACTTTCTCTTCCATCTGTTTCCTCTCCCTATGTGTATCAGCGATGTCTTAGTTCAGATTCTCCATTTATAAGGACTTTTGTAGCAGACTAACACTGTCTTCTCACCTTTCACTTTCCTCTACATGATGTTTTTGTACACTTACGTGATATCCCTAAAAACAAGCTCTGGTTATTTTGTTGTTATAACAAAAAACTTTTACAAGCCTGGAGCTGGTGGCTCCTACCTGTAATGCTAGCTACTTAGGAGATTTGAGGATCAAGGTTTGACGCCAACCTGGGCAGGAATGTCTGTGAAACTCTTATCTCCAATTAATCACCCAAAAACCAGAAGTGGAGCTGTGGCTCAAGTGGTAGAGTGCTAGACTTGAGCAAAAGAGCTCAGGAACAGTGCTCAGACCCTGAGTTCAGGCTCTACAATGGACAAAAAAAAAAGTTTTTACAGAGTTAGTTATTATGTACTTAATACATACGAGTGACTCAATCTAACATTCAGACATCAGAATATAATCCTAATGTATTTTCAGGTGTATTTTTCACTGCTTTCCATATCAACCAAAAGGTCTGATCAGTCATTGGCCAACATTCTCCTTCTTTCCCATTTCTAGTTTTGTTCCTAATTTCTTTCTTCCTACATATTTTCTATTTCTAAATTGTCTAGTGAAATTGTGCTTATTTTCAGCACCTATTCCCAAATACTTCTTCCACTCAACTTTTCCACAACACCTACTGATACACAGATTCAGATACGATCTCTATCTTTTGAAATGCTTAGCTCTCTACTTTTTTCCTCATCTTTGCTATTATTTATATTATCTTTTTGTAATATGTTTACATCATAGAGCACACCGCTTTTATATGATAGATGCTTGATAAATATCCATTGGCTGAATGAATGGATCTTTTTGCCAAGCTGCAAGCTTGGCTTATTCTTTTTTTATTCCTTTTGTACTATAAATATATACCATATAATTCATAATAGAAGATTTTGTATATTTTTAAATTTAGTTATTAGAGAAGATATCAATATCTTAGGCATTACCTGTGTGCTTTGCTTTCTTTACCTTCTTTCTCAACTCCATTTTGTTTACTGCTGTGCCATACTCTATACATAATTATTACCATATAGGGGTAAGTGTACATTGCAGTCTTTTAGTAATAAATATTTTGGTTCTTCCTCTTTTCTGTTAACAGTAACCTCTGGCAAATTATTTAGTGTAGTTTTCCTTTCTATTAGAAGTAAAAAGTAAAAATAATTCAAGTCTAAAAATTTCACTTTGAAGGTGAATAAGGGCTGTAAGAGGACTGGCACTTGCTTGTGGAACATTTTAAAGCATTATCTAGAACTTGGAAGTATTTTAAGTATAACTGATTTGGAAATTTTCTAGTATCATTTTTAGCTTACTATCTACCTATAATTCTGGTGGAATAATTAAAGTATAGGGGAGAATAAGAGGAGATTTAAACTTAGTTTTACCCAAGATTTTTTATGAAAAAAGAATGGTGGGGATGTAAAGGGTCACTCGTGGTAATGCAATGCTCTAAAATACAAGTATTTTCAGACTTTGAGTATCTCAGTTCTATGTTCTTGTCACATTTATGAAGTGTTTTAATGAACTGACCAGATGGGGAAATTTAAAATACAGAAGAAACTGAATTATCTCAGTAGTTTAGACCATTAGTTATTGAAGAAGGATGTCAGTAGTCCATGAGAACACCCCTTGGTTCAATGGTCTGCTAGGAAGACTCATCACATATATGTATGGATATGATTTATTGGAATATAAAGTTCCAATTCAGAATTCACAAGAGAATCTTATGAGGCAAACTCCAGAGGAAAGAGGAAGCTTCTCTCCTAATTCACACAAAATAGTACTTAATTTCCTCAGCAGCAAACTAATAACACTTACAAACTTCTGTCCAGCATGTAAGGTTATTAGAAACAAAGGACCCAAGGTTTATATTGAAGAATGTTATGTAGGTACCATGTGTTTAGCACTGGTCAAAGTTTCAAACTCTAAGAAGGAAAACAAGTATTTAACAAGATCTATATTGTTTGTTCAAGCACAGTGAGCCACTCTCACCAACTTATTACTCTTATGGGAAACTTTCCTGACAAAGAAGCCAACTCAAAGGAAAAAGGAGCCAAAAAAATGAAGGGAGCCATTATCCTGATGTTTTTGTGCTCCTAGATCCAAGAATGTTTCCCCTTGAACTTCTCGATAACAAAAGCCAGTAATGCATAGGGTGCAGGCAAACATTCATGTCTGACCTGCTTAGTAGCCATAGAAAGAGAAAAAGAGTATTTTTTTTTGTCGGTCTTGGGGCTTGAACTCTGGGCCTGGGCACTGTCCCTCAGCTCTACACCTCAAGGCGAGCGCTCTACCACTTGAGCCACAGTGCCATTTCTGGTTTCCTGGTGGTTTATTGGAGATAAGATTCTCACTGACTTCCTGCGTGGGCTAGCTTTGAACCATGATCCTCAGATCTCAGCCTCCAGAGTAGCTAGGATTATAGGAGTGAGCCACCTGTACCCGGCTTCATAATGGTTTTTAAGGGAAAAGATCCAGGAAATATTTTGGGTATTCTGGCTGTAGTCATATGGTTATATCTGGACTTTCTACTGCAACTGGGAAGATAGAATATTCTAGTTGGCTAGGCTTTGGTCATAATCATCTCTAGGGCTAATAAAATGATGGGCTAAATTTCTCCCCTTACCCATCATCCTCTATACATCAACATCCTGTAGTTAACAGCACTATTAAAATATGGAAGTAAATCATATTTTTTCTGAACAGTGCAATGTGGGCAAAAAGCATGACTTTGCCCACATTTTTATTATCTTAGCTATTATGAAATGTGGAAAACAAAGTAAGTACAACCAGGTTGCAAATGAGTAAAAGCATAGTAATAAAATTCTTCTTAGGTATCATCTTACAGAAAAGACACTTCATCACCTCGCATTGATTTATGCAGCTTTGGTTTCTTCTGGCCTTAAATCTGAAGAACTGGATGTAAAGGTATTATTTTCCTGTATGTTTGTTCATAAACCAGAATTAGCCAGGTGCTGATAGCTCATGCCTGTAATCCTAGCTACTCAGGAGACTGAGTTTGGAGGCTCATGTTTTATTGCCAATCTGGGCAGGAAGCCTGTGAGACTCTTATACTCTTATCTCCAATTAAGCACCAAAAAAAGCTGGAAGTGAGCCAGGCGCTGTATGTAGCTATTCAGGTGGCTGAGATCTGAGGATCACAACTCCATTCAAAGCTAGCCTGGGCAGAATGAGATTCTTATCTCCAATAAACTACTCAGAAAAAGTCAGAAGTCATGCTGTGGTTCAAGTGGTAGAGTACTAGCCTTGAGCAAAAAAGCTCAGGAACAGTGTACAAGCCCTGAGTTCAAGCCTCAGGACTTGCACCAAAATAAAAAATATATATATTAAAATATATATATATATGAACTCATGTGCCGAGTGAAAAAAGGCACTAAATTGACAAAGTAAAAACTGCTTGAAACTGGAAAATTGAGAGGAATGTTGGGTTGGGAGGGATGAGGGAGAATGATAAAAGGGGTGATATCAATCAAGATGCAATCTGGTTATAAACTGATCAGTTGAATGTTAACACAAAGGTGTTAACTCCTTATGGTAACTACCAAAAGATAATAAAAATAAAACTTTAAAAGTAAAACATTAAATGCTTTTAAAAAGAGGAAAAAACTGCTTGAAAGCCAAATAAAGAACAGCTTCTAATAAATAAAGAACTTAAACTTCACATAGCACAAGCTGTAGAGCACCTGCCTAGCATGCTTGAAACCCCATGAATTCAAAAAAGCATGAGTTCAAACCCCAGTACAAAAAAAAGAAAAAAGAAAAGAGGGAAGGTGGCTCAGTGGTAGAGTGCTTGCCTTGCCTGCATGAGGCCCTGGGTTCCATTCCTCAGCACCACATAAGCAGACAAAGCTGGAAGTGGCGCTGTGGCTCAAGTCATAGAGTGCTAGCCTTGAGCTGAATTGCTGAGGGACTGTGCCCAGGCCCAGAGTTCCGGCTCTAGGACCAAAGAAAAAAGAAAAGAAAAGAAAGAAAACTCGGCCATTCCCAGCCTGTATATTACTGATACTTCTAAAGATCTGTACTGATATTCTAGCCCTCAAGTAGAAATGTCCACAATGAAGAGCCTACAAGTACCTCAAACTCTTCATGTCTAGAGTACAACTCATCATCCTACTCAAGCTTATTTTGTAGCATCACTGTTTTAGTATAATCAATAGTGAATAGTGAAGTCCTTTTTACTAAAAACAAAAACAAAAAAACACCTTTTCATTGTTATAAAAGTGATTTAGAGAGGGGTTGCAGTTAGTGAAATCCCCTTTTTTAACTCTGCCATGTCTCTAACATATGCCTCTCCTATGCTCCACTACCATTGCTCTCAATTAGGCCTCATTTGCCTCTGATTGAGTTTTAAAGCACCTTCCTAACTAATCACCCTTTTTGTACTTTCCCCACTCTATCACATTGGTATAGACACCAGTTACACTTCTGAAATAGAGCTGTGAAATTTTCACTACTTACACTATAAACTTATGGAGGCAAGAGAACATGTCTATTTATTTTTGTGTTCCTGACACTTGCACAAATCCAAGCAGATGGTAGGCTCTTGCAAGTATTCACCTGTACATTGACATTTCTTGCTTAAAGATCTTCTATTTCAAAAGAGAGTTTTCTATTTCAAAAGAGAATTCAAACTTTTCCACAGTTTAACCCCAAGTAATCCTTCCTTTAACTTCATAGTTGAGAACTATTAGGTTTAATCTAAGAAAGGCAAAATAGGAAATACTACTAGTGATTTTCAATTGCCATTCTGCCTAACAATACTAAAATGTATTTGCAAAAACTTTATGAGTAAATGCAGAATGGAAGTGAAGAAAAACAATTTAGTTCCAAAGTCAGAACATGTTAGGATATACATTTAAAGAAGGAAAGAAAATTGGTTGTTGCCACAAAAAAATATCCTGGTTTTTCACACAGATGCATTAATATATTTAAAATAGCCTTAAAGAATCCATTGTTGATAGGTACTAATGCATAGCTTGTAATCCTAGCTACTTAGGAGGTTGTGACCTGAGGATCAGGGTTCAGAGTCAGCCTGGGTAGGAAAGATTGTGAGACTCCAATTGCTCACCAAAAAGCTGGAAGTGGAGCTGTGGCTCAAGTGGTAGAGTGTCAGCCTTGAGCAAAAAAGCTCAGGGACAGCATCCAGGTCTTGCTTTCACGGCCTATGACAGGAACAACAGGCCAACTTCACTAATTTTCTGACGTACTATAATCTTGCTGACTTTGTTGTGTTAGTTACTAAGAGCTACTCACTAAAACCTAACAGTATTTTTTAGAAAATCTAGTTTTAAATTTTTTTTTTTTTTTTTTTGGTCAGTTGTGGGGCTTGAACTATGGGCTTAGGCACTGTCCCTATGCTCTCCAGCTCAAGGCAGGTGTTCTACCACGTGAGCCACAGTGCTACTTCTGGTTTTCTAGTGGTTTATTGGAGATAAGAGTCTTACGGCCTTTCCTGCCTGCGCTGGCTTTGACCCGTGATCCTCAGATCTCAGCCTCCTGAGTAGCTAGGATTACAGGCGTGAGCCATTGGTGCCCGGTTAAAATTTTCTTTTAATTTCAAAGTTTTTGAGTGCTAATTTTGCTTTTTGATATTTCCTATAATGTAACATATAATATATATTTTTTAGCTTGTAATTACTCCAGGAGGAGAAAAGACTGCATCAATAATTCGTCAAATTGCTGATCACAGTTTAATGAGCTCCAAAAGAGATCCTCATGAATGGCTGGATAAATCATGGCTTGAAGTTTTACCATCCAAGGTTTATTTTTTAATGTATAAATTAGATTATCTACCACGCAAATAAGAATACGTATAATTTCTCCCTCCCTCTTTCCATTCCTCCCACTCTTCCTTCTTTCTTTCCTTCCTACCTACCTTCCTTCCTTCCCTCTGGTAGTACTAGAGTACAAACTCAAGTCTTCTAGGCAGATAGATACTCTACAACTTGAGCAATGCTCCCACCTTCTTTTTTTAAATTATTTTTCAGGTAGGATATCACATTTTTGCCTGGGGCTGGCCTTGGACCTTGGTCCTTCTACTTATGCCTCTCATGTAGCTGAGATTACACCACCACACCCAGCTTCTTGAGTGTCTGGGTGACTTTTTGCCAGAGTAGCCTTGAACCTAATCCTCCTGATCTCTGCCTCTTGCATGGCTAGATTGTGAGACATTGGGTCTGGCTAATTTCCTTTTGGTAGTGTATTTTTCCAGATGCCCCAAATTAAGTGGTAGGTTCAGTGACAAAAATTTTAGCATAAATGGGTCACTTTTGAAAGACTGCTGGCTGATTATTCCTTAAACTGTTTCCTAGGAAGAAATGTACTTACTTGATTTTCCATGCATTAACCCATTGGTGGCTCAGCTGATGTTAAATCAAGTGCCTTCGCTGCATTGGCTATTATCAGCAACCCCATGTCAACTTCAGGAAATTCTACCCAGCGTTCCAGAAAAAGTGTTAAAGGTTAGCTAAGATCTATATTCTTGTATTTCTCTCCCGTTTCCATTTAAGTATCTATTTTTTATAGGAGTTTCAAAATTAAGGTAAACAACTTTATTTTGAACTTCACATAAGCAAAGAAACTACTTGAATTAAATTTCATATCTAATTCCCATTGGTTGCTAGTCAAAGTTATATTTAAAACCTGTTTTTATATAGGAAGGGGAAACAAAGGAGAAGCCAACAATGCTTGATAAGAAATGTACTCATTATCTTGCTCATGTAACTGTAACTCCTCTGTACGGTATTTTCACAATAAAAAAAAAAAGAAAAGAAAACCCTATTTTATATGGACTAGTCAGTGAAATTTATCAAGCTCTGAATCATTTTGAAACAATATTGTGTCCATAAATAGTTGTGTGCCCTGTTCACATGTTCACACTGCATTACCTCTTCCAAAGCCCTTAAGTTCTTCGTTTTAGCAATAAAAAGAACATTAGCCTTACTGGTAATTTTTTAAAAAATTTTTTATTGTAGGGCTGGGAAGGTAGCTCAATGGTAGAGTGCTTGCCTTGCATGCATGAGGCCCTGTGTTTGATTCTTCAGCACCACATAAGTAGAAAAAAGCCGGAGTGGCGCTGTGGCTCAAGTGGTAGAGTGCTACCCTTGAGCTGAAGAGCTGAGGGACAGCGCCCAGGCCCAGAGTTCAGGCCCCACAACCGGACCCAAAAAAAATAAAAAAAAAATTTTATTGTAAAGATACTGTATAGACGGGTTACAGTTACATCAGTAAGGTAATGAGTACATTTCCTTTCAAGCATTGTTACCCGCTCCTTTGTTTTTCCCCTACTAACCCTTCCCTCTCCACCTTCTCCACTCCCCCCCTCCCAAGTTGTCAAGTTCATTTCCAAGATAGTATCTTGTATGTCTCATTGTTACAGTGGGTCAGACTGTATCCTTGTTTCAGCATGTTGTTATTTCCCTTACCTTCCCCAAATTAGAAAAATGTATATAAAACTCTTACCAAGAAAATAGTACTTGTGTATAACTTGCATCACTAAAATTTTTGTCATATTTGCTGTAAATCTAAAACTACTCAAAAAATAAATTTTCCAAAAATTGTGTCATAGCTAGGGATGGGGCTCACGTGGTGGCAGCATGCCTACCTAGCAAGCAGGACGCCTGCCTTCAAACAAACAAAAAATCAAAATATATTAATGTAACAATACAGAAACAAAAAAAGGAAAAACAACTTCTATTATAAATGTGTAGGAAATAAATGCAAACAATAGTGTTTTTCTTTTAATTATGGTCTTAATATACAGATCAATATAATATCTGTGGATAGACTATTTACAGACTTTGCTTTCTTTCCATATAGATAAGCATCATTATTGGAGTGACATGCTTTCTGTGTAATAAACATTATTACCTATGAGGCTAATGTTTGTATTATATGACATTAATTAGCTTCTTTTTATCTTTAGCATTTTTGTAGCATCACTTCCTTATTCAAGATTAATTCTTCCTCCATAACAAAATCACCTCCAAGTTTATCACCTCTGGAAGACAGGAATGAGATTAGTAACTTTATTTCTCAGAATTCAGCTTCAGACCTTTCAGACTCTGCCATTCAAGAGCATAATAATGACTATTGCTCATACTTAGAATCAGAGGAGACAGTGAAGGAAGACACAAACATCCCTACAAATTACAACTCTTCTTTCATGGAACTAAGAAAAACCCCATGTATTTTACCTCCTGTGACTTCTTACACTCTAACCAGCAATTTGAAAAGCTTTAATTGTAGCCCCAATGTTGAACAAAGCAGTCCTTTTCTGATTAATACAGCAACCAAGAAATCAGTTTGTAACTCCTTTCCAAATCAGAATGATCCTGGGTCAGATATCTTTTCTTTGGGTCTAACACAGATAAATCGTGAAACTCAGAGGGGAACAACCCCTAATTTCATAAATTATCAGAAAAAAAGACCACAAGGAACAAAAGAAGTATCTGCCCCTATGTTTTCAGTAGAGGACTCTCTCTCGTCATGGGACTTTCGTCATGGGAACTTTAGGAAAAATGTATGTAAGAAACAAAATCACTCATTCAACTTGAAATATGGAATAGAGTCTACCTATGACAAATGGTACTCTCAAAAAGATAATTTACTTACTAATCAGCAGGAGTCTCTATCAGATGAATTGGAAAGTTTTACATGTGAAAGTTCAAATATTGGGACTACGACTTTGTGGAGACAATTACCATCTGTTCCCAGTTTGAATGTATTCAGTGTTTCTGACTCTAATGCAAATCAAAAAGAAATCAGCAGCCTTAATATGTACCCAAGACCTGGAAAATGTTCAGGACAGAAAAGGTATCTTGAATCATCATCTAATTCAGGAGACAAGGAACCATTAACAGGTAACAATAATCATTTATATAACTATTTCAATTTTAACTTTAAAAACATAGAACCAAAGTCAGGTACTGGTGGCTCATGACTGTAATCCTCGTTATTCAGGAAACTGAGATCTGAGAATCATAGTTTGAAGCCAGCCTGCTCAGGAAAGTCCATGAGACTCTCCAATTAACCACCAGAAAACCAGAAGTGGCACTGTAGCTCAAAGTGGTAGAGCTCTAGTCTGAGCAAAAAAATCTCAGAGACAGCACCCAAGCCAAATTCAAGCTCCATGACTAACAGGAGGGGGGAAAAAAACCCCACACACACACCCCAAAAAAAACCCACAAAAGACAGAACCATTTCCAAATTTTAACAAAATTTTAATGTTAACACTTAAAATGCTCCAGAAACTTTTAGGTCAAAGAGAAAATCAGAACTTTTGGACCTAAAAACATAAAAAATACAAAGAAAATATGTCAAACTGCTTCAGCTTTAAATGAACTAAGCATTCAATTTGAAAAGTTAAAAATAAAATTATATGGATCAGATCACTTCTCAGACTTGTGGCTAAGATCAAACATAACAATACATGGATAACAATATATGGATATCCATATATAAATAATATGTACATTAGCATACATGATTAACAAATGGGAATTACTAAGTAGGTACAACCATGGGAAAGCTGTCAGATATAGAAAAAACCTTATATTCTTAGAAACTTTATACTTGGCTTTGTGGGCTGATATGCAGAAAAGAACTGAATTCTATCATGCTGATAGCTTGAAATCAGCTAGAGAAATTGGCAGTCATTAGAAATCAGGTTTTTCCCTATTTCTGGTAATCCCACTTTGTAAAATGCTTGTTAAATATTTACCAGCAAACTCCAGGTACCTAACCCAGCTCTCTCATAGCTTCACAGAGAAGGAAGAGAATCCTGTTATCATTAACAGCCCCAGACTTGGGGCTGGGCTTGCTCAAGTGGTAGAGTACCTGCACAGCAAGTGTGAGGCACTAAGTTTAAATCTCACATGATTACTCATGTGTAAACATGTTTTTTAGTTTGAGGTAAAAATCTGTTTTCCTCACTAAACACACAACTCCCCAGGAAATTATATCCCTAATGAATATGATCTTTCTCACTCTAGAGGCTATATGTTTATGAGAAGACAGTCATAGTGAAATAGGAATAGTAAGGGAAACTAAGAAGAAAAGGAAAACAAAACAGACTAATAGAATTGCATACATTCTCATGACATTGTTTTAAAAAAGTACAGATAGAATAGGTATTTGCGTGAGGTTCACAGTCAGGGTAAGCTTCTGACATATTTAGTTTAGGATGAGATAGAAACCTTCAAGAACTAGGAAACCCTGGCTTGCTTCCGAAGCCAGTGGCTCGTGTCTATAATCCTAGCTCTGAGGATCATGGTTTGAAGCCAGCCAGGCAGGAAAGTCCATAAGACTCTCTTCTCCAATTAACCACCAGAAAACCAGAAGTGGTACTTTGGCTCAAAGTGGTAGAGTACTAGCCTTAAGCAAAAAACCTCAGGATAGTGCCCAGGACCTGAGTTCAAGCCTCATGATTGACAAAAGAATCAGGAAACACTTTAGAGATGATTGTAGTATAATTTCACAGAAGAAATTAAAGTCCAGGGAGATTTCACTATTTACACACAGTATGTACATAGTAATTTTTAGTACTATACCTGTGGCTAGACATGCACTTATGTTTAAAATATTATTTTAATACTTTTATCCTAGATTGGAAATTTTAACAGTATAAATTGATAAGATAGGATCCACTCATATTTTAGAAAAAAATAACTACACTTTACTATTATATGTAATAAAATAGTTTTCCCTTTTCTCCTTTGAACAGGGTCAATGTACTCAAAATTACCACCACAGAAAAAAAGACGCCTAATGTATGAAAAAGTTCCAGGAAGAAGTGATGGACAAACTCGGCTGAGGTTTTTTTGAGAGAGGGAATGAGCAGTGTTAAATGCCAGATTCTCCTGCTTTTCATCATCTAGTAGCAAAATTATTTAGATTTGCATATATATTTTAAAATGCCATTGTTTTCATGTTCTTAGTGTTTCTCTATTAAAATTTTGTACTATATATTGTCTAATGGCTTGCATTTTGTAAGTAAAATTTTCTAATTACCAATTTAAATAATAATTATCATATCCAAAATATATTCCAGAACTGCTTAAACATCACAAGCTTTCTAGTGAATCCCTATCACAGACTACCTCTCTCCCATAACTATACTTCCGGAGTTAACTAGGGCAAAATGAGGCTTGGGAAACTTCCCTTTTAAGTGTTGTCTTCCCGGGGCTGGGAAGGTGGCTCAGTGGTAGAGTGCTTGCCTTGCATGCCTGAGGCCCTGGGTTCCATTCCTCAGCACCACATAAGCAAAAAGAAAAAAGCCGGAAGTGGCACTTAGCCACAGCTAAGAGGTAGAGCGCTAGCCTTGAGCTGAAGAGCTGAGGGACAGCGCCCAGGCCCAGAGTTCAGGCCCCATGACCGGACCCCCCAAAAAAAAAACAACAACCCTTAAGTGTTGTCTTCCCTAGATGAAATTTAGAAACAAATAACTAAGAGGAAATGTTTGCAAACCAAATTATAAGAAAAGATTTTACATTGTCAGTATACAAAGAATTTCTACAAACTAATAGGAAAGACAACCTAAAGAATGGGCAAAATATGGGAACATTTTCTGAGAAGAAAAAATAGCTAATAAATATTTGGAGCAACATGCAGTTTCATCATTTGTTAGGCCAACCCAATGCAAGTTAAAACAGTAGGTTACTGTTTTTTCACCTATCATATTGGCAAAAATTTTGAAAATTAAAAAATATCCAGTGGCAGCATATTGGAGAAAATAACAGTTTCTTAATTTGTCTGCACAACTTTTTAGAATTTGGTTTGTCTGACATCTATTAAGATGGAAGATGCCTGTGTTTTGACCCAGCTATTACAGTTCTAGTAATCTGTCTGGAAGAAATACTCAATTGCAAAATAAGATATAGTTAAAATAGAATTTGTAATAGGTAAACAGTAGACAAGAAGATACAGCAATAGGAATCAGTGAGCCATTAGACCGTGGTCTATCATGAAACCATTTTGAAGAAAATAAATCTCCATGCTCCAAAAAGGAATGATGTTCATAAAACAGGGAAAAAACATATAAAATATCATAACTCATATTTTATTATTTTTTAAAAAAAGAGACCTTTGGAATTCAAATCTCTTCCAAAATGGTAAATATATTATTGAAACAATTTGAAATACGTGAATTTCATATTTTCTTTCTTTTTTGTCGGTCATGGAGCTTGACTTCAGGGCTTGGACATACTGCCCCTGAGCTTTTGTGCTCAAGGCTAGCACTGTACCAGTTTGAGCCACAGGCCCATTTCCAGTTTGGGGGTGTTAATTGGAGTGAGTCTCAAACTTTTCTGCCTGGGCTGGCTTTGAACTATGATCCTCAGATCTCAGCTTCCTGAGTAGCGAGGGTTACAGGCATGAGCCACCAGCACCCTGCAAACTTCACATGTTCTGATGTTTGAATTTGTTCACAGTACACACTAAAACCCAAAAATTGTACCCAGTAAAATGAGCCAGGTAAAAAAACACAACACATGCACAAGGTACACCTCATGAGGTGAGTCACAATGGCTCAATTCGTGTATGGTGCTTCTACTTTCTTACTAGCTAACCCTTTACCCACTACCTCACAACTCACAAGTTACAACGTGGTCCTGTGCCCTCCTTTCTCTAACCTCTTCTGCTCCTAGTTCCCTACGGATTTCCCTCTGTTCTCTCACGGCTCTCACTAGTTCTTTTCATCAAGCAGAAAGGATTGTAGTATGACTGCCAGGTAGGTAGGCTGATGATTGGTGGGTGAGGCCTACAGGACCATAAGCAAATTCCAGCTCTATTTGTTACACTTATTTGTTTTCCTTGAACATTTTAACATATATATACACACATATATATATATATAGACACATACACATATACATATATACACTCTGTGTGTGTGTGTGTGTGTGTGTGTGTGTGTGTGCGCGCGCACGCACACGCGCTACCACTTTGATTAGCTTCCTAGCCTTTTGTGGTTGTTTTTTTTTTATTGTGAAAATACTGTACAGAGAGGTTACAATTACATGGGCAAGACAATAAGTACATTGCTTATCAAGCATTGTAGCCTCCTCCTTTGTTTCCCCTTTCCATCCCTTCCCATCCTTCCCCCCGCCCCCCTGTGAGGGTTTTTTTGTACTGGATTTCAACTCAGAGCCTGGACACTGTCCCTGAGCTTTTTTGTTCAAGGATAGTACTCTACCATTTGAGCCATAGACTTACTTCTGGTTTTTTGTTTAATTTTAATTGGAGATAAAAGTTTTACAGACTCCTGCCTAGGCTGGCTTTGAACCTTAATCCTCAGATCTTAGTTTACTGAGTAGCTAGGATTTTAGGCATGAGGCACTGGCACCTGGCTCAGTTCCTAGCTTTTTTACTTTGTTGAGTGTCAAATCTCTAACTCTGTTTTTCATATATCTCATTGTTTCTGTGATTTTGATGAGTTTTAGGAACGCATATGTCATGTTATAGTACTCTGACTATACATATGCATATCCTTCTTGGAAACTACTTAATGTATCATGCCTTGATACATATTTTTAAATGTTTTTTATTGTGAAAATACTGTACAAAGGGGTTACAGTTACATGAGCAGGTAATGAGTACATTTCTTATCAAGCATTGTTGCCTCCTCCTTGATGATATATTTAATCATTCTCTCACTAATGGCTTTTCAGACTGACTTCAGTTTGGGCATGAAAAATATATGGACAGATAAATCCTAAACTCTTAACAATGAGTTATTCTCTCTACATGTGTATTTATTTTGAAGGGACAGCTGATTGGTTAGAGAACTCAAGGATAATGTTTTTTGGCTTGAGACATTGGAAGAATGATACAGCCATGTACAAATATGGGAGAGACTATGAGAGGAACATAAGATGAGGAGCTGGTTTAGGGAAACTTCTGGAATACCTACTAGGCACAGTGGAGACAATGAGTAGGTATTTGGATTACATGAGCCTCAAGGTCAATGGGATGAATGAAAAGGAAGCATACATTTACAGGACAATAAGCATAAGCATGTATGTATTGGATAACATGACCAAGGCAGTAAACATAAGACAAAAAAAAGGGCTGGGAAGGTGGCTCAGTGGTAGAGCGTTTGCTTTGCCTGCATGAGGCCCTGGGTTTGATTCCTCAGCACCACATAAGCAAAAAGAAAAAAGCCGGAAGTGGCGCTGTGGCTCAAGTGGTAGAGCGCTAGCCTTGAGCTGAAGAGCGGAGGGATAGCGCCCAGGCCCAGAGTTCAGGCCCCACGACCTGACCCAAAAAAGACAAAAAAAAAATAGAAGCTCAAGGAGTAAACTCTAGGACATTAGAAAGAAACAGAGTACAGTAGGAGAAAACCCAGGAGAAACCAAGTGGAGATATCTCTAACGAGAGAGTAATCAACAGTATGGACGAGAGAGTAATCAACAGTATGGATGCTACTGACAGATAAGCAGTGGGTTTTCCCATGGGCCAATAACTGATGATCTTGGTAAGAGCAGGTTTGGAGGGAAAGTGGGGCGAAAGCCTGGTCAGAATAGACTCAAGAGAAAGGAGGCAAGGAGTTTGGACAATTTTTTTCTGGCACTTTTGCAAGACAGAAACAGCAAAAGAGACAGAGCAATACATATTTCACACATGGTAAGAGATATGGTCTCCTTTTACTGCTGCAGGTTTATCTTGATTTTTCTATTTCTATGTCAGAGTTTGATCAAGAAAGCAGAAGCAAGAGGTGAGGTTGATAGGGATACGTTGTTTACATGTGTGGATTTGGCGGAATGAAAACCCACCTTGTACAACTAATGTAAGCTAATTTTTAAAAAAAAAGCAGAAACACTGAGTTATATAAAGGAAGCTTTATAAGGATTAGACCTCACTCAATTGGGAGAAATGGTTTAAGTCTATGCAAGACGACTGCTTATCTTGTTTTGTACCTGAAATCACTTTAGGTCGGAGCTTAATGTCGGAAAGGCAAGAGGAAGAAAAATGGAAAGCAAGAACAAACTTTCTGGTATGAACTAGACCCCATAAGGAAAAATAAATTTTCAGAAAAAATTGTATTAAGTGAAGTAAGCCAGGCCCAAAGAAACATAGGTCCCATGGTTTCCCTTATTTGCAATAACTAGTATATGTCTGAGTCAAGCAGAAAAGGTCAGATAAGTTGATGTTAGGGAAATGAAACCTAAGATATGTATTCAAATGTTTTTTTCTTTCATGGGATTGTTTCTAACATATTTATAATATTATTTCTTTGTTGCTTTGTATGTCCCTCCCCCACAGTATAACCCCTGATTTCACTGTATTTGAGGTTGGTATAATTTGTGGAGGGGAAGGGATAAAACAAGTCGTTCAAATAGTGATGCAGGTTTATCCATTGCAACAATGAGATTTGCAAATCGTTATGTGTAAAAACGAACTTTACAACTTTGGTAGTGGGGGGAGGATTGGGTGGGGAGGCGGGAGGGGAGGATGGGAAGGGATGGGAAGGGGAAACAAAGAAGGAGGCTACAATGCTTGATAAGAAATGTACTCATGATCTTGCCCATGTAATTGTAATCCCTCTGTACAGTATTTTCACAATTAAAAAAAAAAAAATAAATTTTCTTATATAACTAATCTGATCAGGTGCTGTTTTTTTTTGGTACAGGACTCCACACATTTACATTTATATTCATGAGTGAGATGAGTCTGGGATCCCTGAACTATCTTATCCAGTTTTTGTTAAAGGAAAAGGTAGAATTAAGAGAATTCTTCCTTCCGTACTGGGGTTTGAACTTAGAGCCTCATTCTTGCTAGATAAGGTCTCATCACTCTTCTGCTTAAGTTTTTTCAAATAGGGTCTCACTTTTTTAAGATAGCCTGAATTTCATCTATTTATATTTCCATGTAGCTGGGATGACAAGCTCAGGCCTCAGCATCCAGATTTTATTGACTGAAATGGGGTCCTGTGAACTTTTTCCCAGGAAAACATGACCCTCCAATTGCTGTAGCAAGGAGACAAGAGCTAGGATTATACGTACATATGCATACAAGATGGGGCAATTTCTTTTTTTCTTTTTTGTCGGTCATGAGGTCTGATCTCTGGGCCTGGGTGCTGTTCCTCCGCTTTTTAGCTCTACCACTTGAGCCACACACCACTTCTAGCTTTTTCTGCTTATATGGTGCTGAGGAATCGAACCCAGGGCCTCCTGCATGCCAGGCAAGCGCTCTACCACTGAGCCACCTTCCCAGCCCCAGCAATTCCATTTTTATTGGAAATATTAAAGTGGGCTTATAGTAAAGATGAAGAATGAAGTATATTTAAATAATGAATGGATTAAATAGGCAACTGAAAAGCAGAGAAAAGGATACCTGATAGTGTGACATTTCAAAGATGACAAAACAGACCTAGAGGACAAATAGAGGGGCTAGAAGAAAGGATATTTGAATTACAATCAAATGCTAAGTATGCAGATCACTTAGAAGATTAGAGGCTTAGAAGTAAAGGAGATCACATCTTGGCTCCTGTTTTCTTTACTGTAATAGTATCTATGCTCAAAAGATATTTCCACTTACTTATTTCAAAGAGCCAATAGTTGCCAGCAACTGAAACCATATATCTACATTTCAGGACATTTATAAAATTCTACAATACCAAAACATCACCATGTTCAGCACTCAAACTCACAAGCAAATGGAAATCCACGTAACCTTAAAATGCAAATTAGATCACAAAATATCACTGTCATAGAAAATGATGAATTAAGCAGAAATTTTATTTCCAAGCTTGTCAAAGATTATTACAAACAGTCTTCTTCTAAAAGTATCCCAAAACTAACTGAGAGGCACAACATCCATGTGACATGAAGAATTCTTTTAGGTTATAATATTTTCACATTACTTTGTTTTTAACCATTTGCAATGTTCTGTTTGTAGGTCACAATTTAAACATTTTTTTTTTAAACAAAGTAGTTTTTGGGTTTTTTGTAAGGTACCACAACTATAAAAGAACTTAAGAAGAAAAAGATCAAATCTTCATGTACAAGATGGGGAAACTAATACATATCATTAACAATAATCTTTTCAAGTTTACTAAGATACATCTCCCAAGTTTAATGTTGAAAACAAATTACATTCTCATTAAAAATGAAAGTCTTCTCATGTAAAAAGAAAAAAAAAGACATCTTTTGATTAGTAAAGCCTATTTATCCTCCTGAATTTTATACTTTACCTTCATTTAGTAACTGTAAGTTCATGAGAAAAGAACAAATTTTATTGTAGTATAAAAATCTTAAGAACACGTTACAAATACTCAGTTTTAATAAACAAAAAAATGTTTTCCTTTCTAAATGTAAACATCCAGTAAATAAAACATACATAATATTCTGGATATAGCAAAACCAGAACTTCACTTATGAAAGGTGTATTTTGGAATATTTGGTGGTAAAGGTGGTTGTTTGTCTTAATACAAAAGTACTTCAGCAATAGAACTAGGTCATTATTATTTAGTACTGTACTTCTTCACTCAGTTACCTTATTTGAGTAGAAAATCATTAATTTCTGTATAACTCTAGCTATATGACCAGGCCACAGAAAAGATCTGAAATATCTAATAAGTCATTTGGCTACAAAAAAGTGTTTTCTTGAGACTTGGAGGCATTCATCACTTTGTACTTGAAGGCATTCCTCAATGAAACTGGAAAGAGAGTTTAATAAGATTTATTTATAAGAGTAACTGTATAAAAGTAATAGGTTAATACAATAAAACATCTAAAACTCAACAGTGGATGAACAATGGAAGTGCTGTGTTAAAAATGTTATAAGTAGCCATGTGCTGGTGGCTCACGCCTATAATCCTAGCTACTCAAGAGGCTGAGATCTGAGGATCATAGTTCAAAGCCAGTCCAGGCAGGAAAGTCCCTTTGAGACCCTTATATTCAATTAATCACTCAGGAGACTGAGATGTAAGTATGGAGGTCCAAAGCCAGGCCAGATAGGAAAGTCTGTGAGATTTTTTTTTTTTTTTGTCGGTCATGGGGCCTGAACTCTGGGCCTGGGCACTGTCCCTCAGCTCTTCAGCTCAAGGCTGGTGCTCTACCACTTGGGCAAGGGCACCACTTCCAGCCTTTTCTGCTTATGTGGTGCTGAGGAATCGAACCCAGGGCCTCATGCATGCAAGGCAAGCACTCTACCACTAAGCCACCTTCCTAGCCCCATCTTACAGAAAACTGTAAGTGGCACAGGAGCTCAAAGTGGTAGAGCACTAGCCTTGAGCAAAAGAGCTCAAGGACAGGGCCCAGGCCCCAGGTTTAAGCCCCACAACCGACCAAAAAAAAAAAAAAAATGCCATGACGACAGAAGACTATTTTATCTATAGTTTTGGTGCTAGTACTAAGGCTTAAACACAGGTCTTTATACTTGTACTCAGCTATAGCTGGTGCTTTACCACTTGAACCACACCTCTAATTCTGGCTTTTTGCTGGTTAACAGAAAATAAGAATCTTGCAGGTTTCTCTACCAGGGCTGGCTCTAAATCATGATCCTCAGATTGCAGTAGCAAGTATTATCGACATGAGCCACCAGTGCCTGGCTAGACTATTTTAATACCTTAAGTATTTTCCAATAATAGGGACAATTGTTCCTGATAGTAGAATTACATCCTTCTTTTAAATGTAAACAATTTCCTTTTCTGTATGTGGAAAAAGGACCTAAAATGACCTACTGCATAAACATTACTTAAGACCAGTCATCTAGGCTGGGAAGGTAGCTCAGTGGTAGAGTACTTATCTTGCATGCATGAGGTCCTGGGTTCAATTCCTCAGCACCATATAAGCAGAAAAAAAGCTGGAAGTGGTGCTGTGGCTCAAGTAGTAGAGTGCTAGCCTTGAGCTGAAGAGCTGAGGGACAGTGCCCAGGCCCAGAGTTCAGGCCCCACGACCAACAACAACAACAACAACAACAACAACAAAGTGAGTAAGACCTCAGTACAGTATTCAAACTCATAACACTTCTAGTAGACCATCAGAAAGTTATTTCATCTTATTTATCAATTGTTACTTTTCTCCAATAGTTACATTTTTTTTCTTCCATTAAAACACAGAAATATATTCTGAGAGCCTTTGAGGAAGGTTATGGTATACATAAGTGTGTGCCCGCTGGAGAATCCAAGACCCAAGTCAAGTGGTAACACAAAATAGCCAATCACAACACTGGGATGGTGTAAGGATAGAATGAGGAATCAAGGTCAAGAAGTTACTAGCATTCAACTCAATTTAAGAGTTCAAGTATGGCCAGGTGTGGTGGCTCATGCCTGTAATCCTAGCTACTGAGGAGGCTGAGATCTGAGGATCATGGTTCAAAGCCAGCTCCAGCAGGAAAGGCTGTGAGACTCTTACCTTCAATAAACCACTCAGAAAGCCGGAAGTGGCGCTGTGACTCAAGTGGTAGAGTGCTCGCCTTGAGCTGAAGAGCTGAGGGACAGTGCCCAGGCCTAGAGTTCAAGCCCCATGACCACCCCCCCGCCACCCCCCCCAAAAAGAGTTCAAGTATGGAAGGATCTTGTCATCTCATGATTTAGAACCAAAGGTAATTAGCTTCCCTAATGAGGCACAGTCTACAGGCAGGGTACCTACAGACTCGAGTCACCCTTTAGGGAAAGTTGTGCATTTTGCTGGTCTTTTAATTCTCCCCAGAATAGTAACTAAGGAAAAATCCTCAGTTGCCCAAATCCTTTGAGAAGCCCTGTGATACTACACTGGTCCCAAGAGGCTATGATGTGGCATCACTCACCAGTCTTTTAAAACAAAGCACAGGACCTGGGTTCCCGGAAGGGATTGCTTCCTGCTGGAACACCCACCAGCAGGGCATCCTTGCAGGCATTCTGAATGCAGTACTGCTGAAGATCTGCAGCTGCCTGGGAGACCTGAAACAAAGCACAACATGACTTGCCACTTACAGCCAGATCCAGCCGGAGTCAGCTGACACCCTGAAAGTGATCGTACAACCTGATAAACGTCACACATCCAAGGTTCTTTTTGGCTGATTCTAATCAATGGATTCCAAAGAAGAATAGTTATAACTTCTGTGATTTAAGTCAGAATAGTCATGCTTTAATTTTATTTAACAAAGGTAGGAAAATGCTGTATCTTTGATCCATTCAGAACCCTAGTTTTGCTGAAGGTATGGCTCAGCGGTAGAGTATCTGTTTAGCAAGTATGAGGACTTGAGTTTGGTGGTCCCTCAGTACTGCCACAAATAACCCTAGTTTTGAGACTAAAATGGGAAAGAAATACCACAGTCCTTAGTTCCCTATATGAATATATATAGCAGTCAACTATATGTCCAAGTTACCATAAGAACAAACTGCTTTAATGTTTTGAAAACTAGAATCTTAAGTCTGCTCCCAAGGGATAAAGTTCTTCCACCATGTTTTTGATTTAGTGTAACATACTGGTTAAGAATGCAGTCTGGATGGGTGCCAGTGGCTCATTCTTGGAATCCTAGCTACTCAAGAGGATAAGATCTGAGGATTGTGGTTCGAAGCCAGCCTGGGCAGGGAAGTCTATTCAACTCTTATTTCCAATAAAAACTACTCAGAAAAAGCTGGAAGTGGCATTGTAGCTCAAGTGGTGGAGCACTAGCCTTGAGCACAAAGAGGCTCAGGGACAGTGCCCAGGCCCTGAGTTCAAGTCCCAGGACCAGCAAAACATAAAAAATAAAATAAAAAAGAATGCTCAGCCAGGCACTGGTGGCTCATGCCTGTAATCCTAGCTATTCAGGAGGCTGAGATCTGAGGATCATGGTACAAAGCCAGTCAGGGCAGAAAAGTCCAGGAGACTCTTATCTAAAATAAACCACTAGAAAAACCGGAAGTGGTGCTGTGGCTCAAGTGGTAGAGCGCTCGCCTTGAGCTGTAGAGCCCAGGCCCAGAGTTCAAGCCCCAGGACCACCACCAACTACAACAAAAAACAATGCTTAGTGATTAAGCGCTCACCTAGTGTGTGTTAGGCCCTGAATCTCATCCCCAACACTGAAAAAAAGAAAGGAAAAAAGATGCAATGTCGACAACTGGATTGCCTAGACTCAAATTCAGCCCTGTCACTACCCATCTGACCTTGAGCAAGTTATTTAACTTCCCTGTACCTGTTTTCTCATCTGTGCAACATATTTAGTAACACCATTTCCTTGGGTTGATGTACCAAATAAAGGGAGTTAATTAACCCCGGTTAAGCTCTAGGTAACACATAATTTGCTGTATATTGGTAGGAAATAGCAATAACATGGTCAAAAGATCTTCTAGTTCTTCCCACCAAGATGCCTTGTTTCAAACAATAACATGTAGCTACCCACCATGTGGCACTAGCACCTTGAATGAGCCCAATCTAGCCTACCAGAGGTAGGAACATGAAAGAGAACCAGCCAGCCCCATCTACCAACTTCAGAACAGTGAATGAGAAGACACCAACCAAACCCACATCTGATTGCAGATGCATGAGAAATCCATATGTTTATTTTGGAGACAGAGCCTCTTGCACTTTTCTGCCTAGGCTGGCTTCAAACTGCCATCCTCAGATCTTAGCCGCCTGAGGAGCCAGCAGTACCTGCTGCTGCGCTTGCATATGGCTACTTGGGGGCTTCTTTCTTGAAACTGCATTTTTCTCAAAATGCAAACGTGTTTTGTATAAAAACGCACACTAGAAAAAATGGTTCAACTGCTCTTCAAATATTACTATTAGTTTGTGTTTCCAAGCCTCCAAATAAATGAAGTACATAGCAACTGCTGCTATGGAGTAGATGTGGTTTGAATATGCCCCCACAGGTTTGAGTGTTGAAATTTAATTCCCATTGTGTGGTATTAAGAGGATGGAAACTTAATCTGACTGTGGTGCTACTCCCTGATCTCAACCGCTCCAACCCATCTATCCGTGTACTTCCTTCATGCTCTTGTTCTTTGATCTCCCTCGTTTGGTCCCCCCATCATCTTCACTGGACAGCCCAGGTTCAGCCTCCTGACCAGAAGCATTCTGGCCTCTAGCCCCACTCCACCTTTCTGGCATGTCTCCCTTGCTCATTCACCTCTTGGATCAACCACCATCACCCTCAGAATCCTAGGTGGATAAATGCTGCTGAAGAAAAAAAAAATCACCAGCAGCCAAAGGGTCTCCAATCTCAGCTTCTGGGTCCTCAGAGTCACAGGATGTCTACAGATGTGCCTGCTTGGCGCCTACTCTCTTCACAAACACTGCTGCACCCTTCCACACACACACACACACACACACACACACACGTCTCCTCCTTCCTACGAGATACGTTGGCCTGTATTTTCGCAAATAAAAGTCATACACGTCTGTCAGCCCAAATCCTGAAACATCTGTCTTTCCACCATAGCCTTTCTTCCCTTCTTCCTGACTCAAAAGGTTCCTGTTCAATCCTAGCTTAGGCCCCACAGATGCCATCTCCTCGACCTCTCCATTCCTTTCTTCCTTTTTGCTCTAAAAATGCTCCTTCCTCTCCACTACAAAATACTTTTCATTTTCTAAGTTAAAAGTTCTTTAAGAACTCGATTTTAACAAAATCTTCCTACCCTCTTAGAATCCACATACTATGGTGACACAGCACCGAAAATGTTTAAATTCCCAACTGTCCTTTTACCTTCACTCGCTATCATTTCCCTGGCTGGTTACTTTATGATCTTCTAGAGGAGCACCAGGTATGCTGACCAGGTACTACTACTACTCAGGACAGACAGACTGGGGGCGTGCTACACACACACACACACTGGTTGCCAAACCCTCTTGCACAACAGACTCCCTTAGCCAACCATCTAACCATCGATTACTAAGGTCACGACTTAAAAACCCATCCTTCCTTTTCTCCTGCTTCCTCTTCTCCGCCATCTACCTTCCCTGGACTCCGGCCCCCAGGTACCGCGCTTTTGACACCCGCACGTTTCGGTAACGTCTTCCAGCCTCGTGAACACACACGTCCCGAGATCGATCTCAAGGCCCACCCAGCCAAAGGAGCCCGCTTCCCGCAAACTCGCTCTGCAGCCACCCGCCCCGGCGCCAGAGCCCTGGGCGCCCTTCCTCTTCCCGCGGCCCCCGGCCTTCGCCACCCCCGGCGCGGCGTGCGCTCCAGCCGCATCCTCCCCATCTCCGGACCCAGCCGAGTCCCGGCCTCCCCCGCGAGTCGCCCGCACCCCGGGGCCCCGTCGGAGCCTCTGCCCACGCGGTAACCAGCAGGGCGAGACCTCGGCGCCAGGGCCGGGCCTCCCCGGAGCCCCAGGTCCGGCTCGCGCTCGGGCCCGGGTCAGTAGCCATTTCCGCCGGCCCAGCCTCCGGCCTCCTCCCCGCCCCGCGCCGAGCCCAGGGACGCGAGCGCCGGCCTCCGCCGTGCCGCGAGGCGCGCGCCGCCGGGCGGGCTCACCTTGATCCGCTCCACGCCAGCCTCCAGCTTCAGTTGCTCCACCAGGCGCTGCAGGGCGCTCACGCTGGCCCCGGAGGACATGGCGGCGGCCGGGGGATCGCAGGGCGGCGGGGGGGATCGCAGGGCGGTGGAACCCGACTGTGCGAGCCAGCCGCCGGGCGCCGCCCCGGGGCGGGGAAGCCGGGCGCCTGCCGGCAGGCCCCCCCCTCCGCGCCCCGCCCCGCCCCGCGCCCCGCCCCGCGCCCCGCCCCGCCCCGCCCCGCGGCCGCCCCGCACCCCGCGCCCCCGCCCCGCGCCCCGCCCCGCACCCCGCGCCCCGCCCCGCCCCGCACCCCGCGCCCCGCCCCGCGCCCCGCCCCGCACCCCGCGCCCCGCCCCGCGCCCCGCCCCGCACCCCGCGCCCCGCCCCGCCCCGCGGCCGCCCCGCGCCCCGCCCCACACCCCGCAGCCCCGCGCCCCGCCCCGCGGCCGCCCCGCACCCCGCCCCGCCCCGCGCCCCGCCCCGCACCCCGCAGCCCCGCGCCCCGCCCCGCGGCCGCGGGCTCCCGAGCTCTCAGGGGTCCTGCGCGCCCGCGCTGCGCCCAGCGACTCGTGCCATCTAAAGCTAGCGACATTGCCCTCTGTGCCTGAGACCGAGACGGGAACCCATGGCAAGACGGGCAAAGTGGCCCCTGTTTGCACCGCGAAGCTCGGGCGCCAAGGGCCAGCCAGAAGTGGGTGCGCGGCGTGAGCCTGGAGCTAACGCTGAGACTGACTCCGAGTCTGTGGCCTCGGACTGGAGCCCGTCCTGAGCGAGGGCAGGATCGCTGGCAGGCCTCCACGAGAGTCACAAGCCAGCTTACCCACCGGTTTCCCGGTCGTGGTCAGATGGAGAGAGCTAGGCAGGGTAAAAAGCCCAGCTCCTCGCCCCATCTCACGGCCCTACCCTCCCGTGCTTGCTTGAGTGTTGTTTTTGTGTGGTGGAGCGGTGGTGCTCCCTAACTCAGCCTGCCCTTCCGTCTTGCTACTCACTTTACAAAACTGCTATCACGAGGAGAGAATGAATGGTAGCTCATCCCTGGAAGTCTAGCACTTGGGAGACTTGGCAGGAGACTAGGTCCAGGCTAGCCAGAAGCAACATAGCCAGACACACACACACACACACACACAAACACACACACACACACACACAAAAAAAAAAATTGGGTCCATTATTACATGTAAAGTTTGAGAGATTTTTCACTAAACCATGACACTCATTTTTGTAAATTATCTTGTCAGAACCCACTTGAGTAGTGCAAAAGGTAATTTATTGGCCTGTGTAGCTTAAAAGTGCAAGGGTCCTTAACCTAGTGGCTCAAACGACCCAAACAAGAGCTTCAGACTTACACTACATCTCCTTGTTCTTCAGTGGTAGCTGGAATCTCAGGAAGGAAAGTCCTGTGCTTTCACTGTTCCAGCCTGACCAACACACTAGGCAAGAGAACCTCCTTCCTAACTGTTCAGCAAAATTCCCCAAAATGGATCTCACTGGCTGAGATAAGGGGTACAGCCCAAACCAATCACTACTCAAAAGGAAGGATGTTTTGCAGTGCTCAGATTAGCTGCTCTGGTCAAGATGAGCTCTTCAGTCAGCCTCACCCCTAGTAGATGCTAAGGGGTACCCCTAAATTCTATCTCAGAACTGCTGGGAGTGGTGCCAGCTGATGATTCTAAATAAGTGTCTCATCTGTTAAATGTGTGTGTGTGTACACGTGCATGCACGCACACACACAATGTTTCAGGAGCTCCAGATGAGATCATCTTGAAGTTTTTGTTGTTAGTTTGGGGTTTTGTTGTTTGCCTCTGCACATAGTGGGCAAGTACACTCCCACACAACTACATCCCCCCCCCCCCCCAGATCTTTATGGCAACTCTATCACAGGTCAGCTCTTCCCTCTCCTGATAACCACTACAAGTGCAGACTTTAAGCACATGCACTAGAAAACTTTTAGTATGAGAAAAACCTCCATTTTAAGGACTATTTCTGAGAAACCCAAACTAAGACACTCAAAAATCATGATTGGGGCAAGAGAATATATGGAGGGAGTTCCCAAAGGAAGATCAGGATGCTGCTACCAAAACGGGGAAAGTGGTAGTTTTTAAGGAGGTAGTATTTAAAACTACCCTTAGCTATCTGTCCCAAAAAAATCACCCAAATAAGATTAGGGCTAAAAAAGGGGGAATCACAATAAATACATGTGAAATCCAGAACTTATGAGAACTTATGAAAACCTTTACTCACACTGGAAAACCTAGTAGAAATGGGTGCATTCCTAGATAATCTCAACCTATCAAAATTGAGCCAAGAGCATGTAAGCTATTTATACTGATCTACAAACAAGTGCTGAGATTGCAATTAAAGAAATCTCCCAACAAAGAAAATCCCAAGACCCAATGGATTCATAGCTGAATTCTACAAGATCTTTAAAAGAACACCGGTACTCCTCAAACTTTTCTACAAAATAAAAAGGGAAGCCATCACTACTAAACTCATTCTATGAAGCCAAGTCCCCAAACCAGAGACAGACAGACACACAGACACAAAGGGAATTATAGGCAAATCTCTTTGATGAACATAAATGAAAAAGTCTTGAATAAAATACTTAGTAACCAAATTGAACTACTAATAAAAAAAAAAGCTATACTGGTTTCATCCCAGGCATGCAAGATTATCTATAAATCGATACTAATATAGTATATAAACAGAATCAAAGACAGAAATCACATGATTATCTAGATGCAGAAAAAGCCTTTGATAAAATCCAACATCTTTTTTATAATAAAAGCATCTGTAAAAGCCAGGAATAGGATTGTTTTCAAGGTACTTTTTCCTGTTAACTCATCCAAGTTGATTACAAGTGGAGTTTTATTTAAAATAAATAAATAACATTTCTGGCCTGCAGGCAATTACCCACCTAAAACCTGTGTAACTTAGGTTCAGATTATAGTTCTGATTATCTAAAAGATCCCATCATCTTACAGAGATGAAAGCCGGAAAAGTAATTAGGTTAATAGGTTATTATATTTGGCCTTATCCCATATTTAAATATGGACTATCACATTTTGCTAATAAGATTAACTATACTTCATATACACAGGTGTTTATAACATTTGTCTGCCTCAATGCACAATTATAACTAGACAGTGACTGTTTTACTTTCTATCACACAATAGCTACCGCTGTTCATACCAATGTCTTATAAAGTCAATTTTTCCTAATTTCTATAGAGCTTTTACCCAATAATTTCTATAGAACTTTTAGTGAGGGGCCAGGAGCCTGATTCTTATACTAGGTGCGTGTTATGTGAGCACAACTGGCTTCTACTTAAACAAAAAAATTTAATGTCCCCTTAGTCTCTCTCTCACACACATGAATCTCAAAGGGAACAAGTGATTTTTCTAGACAAATTCAATAGCCCTAAAATAGTTAAACGTCTAATTGTAACTATTTTTTAATGTTAACATTAAAAAAATCTTTTGTACTAATTTTACTGCTTAAGATTCCAGGCAGGGCAGGGCACTGGTGGGTGGGCTGAGACCTAGGGTATCTGCGTTTAAAGTCAACCAGGGCAAGAAAGTCTGAGAAATGGGTAATTTTGAGGTATGGGTCAAGTGGTAGAGTTCCAACCATATGCATAAAAGCCGAACAAACATGCAAGACCAATAGTTCAAGTCCTAATACTTGCTTGCACCAAAAAAAAAAAAATTCCAGGCAGGATATCTAATAGGCTTATGAAACTGCAACTCATAATCTATAGAACTAGAATTCATTAGGAAGTAAGACCACTGCAGAACGTTAGTAGTATGGTATCTCATAACACAGGATAAGGATGTAACCCTAAGGGTAACTTTGGGACCTCAGTTACAGAACAGGTGGTGAGTGGAGGCAGTACATTAACACTATCCACCCATGAGTACCGATCTTTCCAAACTGATGTGATTGACAGCTCTACAAGGCAGCACAAGAAACATTTCCTAGAGGAGCCCCAGCACCTGGTAGAGTCCTGGGGTTCTCTACCCAGGATTCTTCTCCAGATGTTTCTAAAATTGGAGGCTTGGGTTTTTGTTTGGGGGACTGTATAGTGCCAATAAAAATACTAAATTCTTGACAAACACTTGTGACAAGTTAGTCGAAAAATAAGTGTTTTTTTTAATTGGGCATTTGTTAGAAATAGAAATTTTAGCCTAAAAAAACCATTCTAAAAAAAGTAATGGATGCAACTGGATAAAGCCTGTAAGCCTAGCTACTCGGGAGGCTGAGATCTGAAGATCGTGGTTCAAATCCAGCAGGAAAGTCCATGAGACTTGTATCTCCAATTGACCACAAGAAAACCAGAAGTGGCGCTGTGGCTCAGTGGTAAAGCACTAGCCTTCAACAAAAAAGCTCAGGGACAGCACCCAGGCCCCGAGTTCAAGCCCCACAACCAACAACAGCAAAGAATGGATGCATAATACATTTCACTTAAGTTTACAAAAATGAAAATAATTATAATACTTCAGGATTTTAGAACTGTAAAAAAAAGAACTCTAACAATAATTCAGTGAAATCCTATCACTATTTTACAACTGAGGCAATGGAAACTGTCATTCACAGGTTAAATAACCAGGTCTGGTTAAATTAGAAAGGATTGAACTCTGCAGAGATCTCATACTTGAGCTGAGCCTTTTAATTTTTATTCTTTGACAGTTATTGGGGTTTGAACTCAGGGCCTCATACTTGCTAGGCAAGTGCTCTACTGCTGAGCCATGCCTCTAGCCTTACTTGCTCTAATTTGTTTCATATTGGGTTTAGCTCTTTTTGCCCAAGGCCAGTCTTGGATCTAGTAGCTGAGACCATGCCTATCAATGGTCCATGCACCTCCATACCTACTTGGTTTTCTGGGATAAGGTCTTGCTGACTTTTTGCCTAGGCTGGTCTCGAACCACAATCTTCTTCTACTAAATAACTAGGATTACATTACAGGTTTGCAACATGTCTAGCCTAGGACTCAGTTTTTTGTTTTTGTGTGTGTGTTTTTTTTTTTTGTTGGTCACGGAGCTTGAACTCTGGGCCTGAGCACTGTCCCTGAGCTCTTCAGCTCGAGGCAAGCGCTCTACCACTTGAGCTACAGCACCACTTCCTGTTTTCTGGTGGTTAATTGTAG